TTACTCACCCGTGTGTAGTTTGTACTGAGGTGTGTGTATCTGACTTACTCACCCGTGTGTAGTTTGTACTGAGGTGTGTGTATCTGACTTACTCACCCGTGTGTAGTTTGTACTGAGGTGTGTGTATCTGACTTACTCACCCGTGTGTAGTTTGTACTGAGGTGTGTGTATCTGACTTACTCACCCGTGTGTAGTTTGTACTGAGGTGTGTGTATCTGACTTACTCACCCGTGTGTAGTTTGTACTGAGGTGTGTGTATCTGACTTACTCACCCGTGTGTAGTTTGTACTGAGGTGTGTGTATCTGACTTACTCACCCGTGTGTAGTTTGTACTGAGGTGTGTGTATCTGACTTACTCACCCGTGTGTAGTTTGTACTGAGGTGTGTGTATCTGACTTACTCACCCGTGTGTAGTTTGTACTGAGGTGTGTGTATCTGACTTACTCACCCGTGTGTAGTTTGTACTGAGGTGTGTGTATCTGACTTACTCACCCGTGTGTAGTTTGTACTGAGGTGTGTGTATCTGACTTACTCACCCGTGTGTAGTTTGTACTGAGGTGTGTGTATCTGACTTACTCACCGTGTGTAGTTGACTGAGGTGTGTGTATCTGACTTACTCCCCGTGTGTAGTTTGTACTGAGGTGTGTGTATCTGACTTACTCACCCGTGTGTAGTTTGTACTGAGGTGTGTGTATCTGACTTACTCACCCGTGTGTAGTTTGTACTGAGGTGTGTGTATCTGACTTACTCACCCGTGTGTAGTTTTACTGAGGTGTGTGTATCTGACTTACTCACCCGTGTGTAGTTTGTACTGAGGTGTGTGTATCTGACTTACTCACCCGTGTGTGTAGTTTGTACTGAGGTGTGTGTATCTGACTTACTCACCCGTGTGTAGTTTGTACTAGTTTGTGTAGGAGAGCAGGGAGAGACCAGAGAGAAACTAGAGAGAGACCAAAGAGAGAGACCAGAGAGAGAGACCAGAGAGACCAGAGAGAGACCAGAGAGAGAGACCAGAGAGAGAGACCAGAGAGACCAGAGAGAGACCAGAGAGAGAGACCAGAGAGAGAGACCAGAGAGACCAGAGAGAGACCAGAGATACCAGAGAGAGACCAGAGAGAGACCAGAGAGAGAGACCAGAGAGAGAGAGCAGAGAGAGAGACCAGAGAGAGAGACCAGAGACCAGAGAGAGACCAGAGATACCAGAGAGAGACCAGAGAGAGACACCAGAGAGACCAGAGAGAGACCAGAGAGAGACCAGAGAGAGAGACCAGAGAGAGACCAGAGAGAGAGACCAGAGAGAGACCAGAGAGAGACCAGAGAGAGAGACCAGAGAGAGACCAGAGAGAGAGACCAGAGAGAGAGACCAGAGAGAGACCAGAGAGAGACCAGAGAGAGACCAGAGAGAGACCAGAGAGAGAGACCAGAGAGAGACCAGAGAGAGAGACCAGAGACACATGTTTACTTGTTGCTGGTTTTACATTCACAAATAAAGCAGAACTGGTCCGAACCAGACGTTAAACTACTCCCTACAACGCTGTGTTTCGTTTTCACATTTTCTGTCTATTGTCTGAAAGAAATGTACTTTACACTAAAGAAAAATCAATTATTTAATCCATGAACGCATTGGGTCCAATTATCCTCCGTGATAACAGCAGCACTTTTATGAATCCAGGCTCTGCACATGAACTAATCACAGAGTCACAAACATTCATTTCAGAGTATTTGTCCCGGGGTTTGTCCTTGATCCGACCTCCAGCTTTGCCGTTCTGAAGGATGAGGCTCTGGACCACAGCCCCAGCCACAGCCGCAACCACAGCCGCTGCAGCCACAGCCACAGCTGCAGCCACAGCTGCAGCCACAGCCACAGCCGCTGCAGCCACAGCCGCAGCCACAGCCGCTGCAGCCACAGCCACAGCCACAGCTGCAGCCACAGCTGCAGCCACAGCCACAGCCGCTGCAGCCACAGCCACAGCTGCAGCCACAGCCACAGCCACAGCCGCAACCACAGTCACTGCAGCCACAGCCACAGCCACAGCTGCAGCCACAGCCACAGCCGCAACCACAGTCACTGCAGCCACAGCCACAGCTGCAGCCACAGCTGCAGCCACAGCCACTGCCACAGCCACTGCCACAGCCACAACCGCTGCCACTGCCACTGCTGCAGCCACAGCCACAACCACAGTCACTGCAGCCACAACCACAGCCGCTGCCACTGCCACAACCACAGCCACTGCCACAGCCACTGCCGCAGCCACTGCCACAGCCACAACCACAGTCACTGCAGCCACAGCCACAGCCACAGCCACTGCCACAGCCACTGCCACTGCCGCAGCCACAGCCACAACCACAGCCACTGCCACTGCCACAACCACAGCCACTGCCACAGCCACTGCCGCAGCCACAGCCACTGCCACAGCCACAACCACAGTCACTGCCACAGCCACAACCACAGTCACTGCAGCCACAGCCACAGCCACAGCCACTGCCACTGCCACAGCCACAGCCACTGCCACTGCCACAGCCACAGCCACTGCCACAGCCACAGCCACAGCCACAGCCACTGCCACTGCCACAGCCACAGCCACTGCCACTGCCACAGCCACAGCCACAGCCGCAGCCACTGCCACAGCCACAACCACAGCCGCAGCCACTGCCACAGCCACAACCACAGCCGCAGCCACTGCCGCAGCCACAGCTCTGACTCCAAAACAGACTTTACATGGTTTTCAATGGGAGCAACACTGTCCAGTTTAATGAAAGACAAAAGCTTCTCTCTGCTCCAGTGTTGAAGAGTGAAGAGTGAAGAGAAATTTTGCTGCAGGGGCCTAAGTTTCTCAGCTCAAAGCCGTGTCGCAAAAAAGTCTGCAATTACAAACAAGAGCGAGTAGAAGTGAAGAGGCTGGACTGGGCTGGACTGGGCTGGACTAGGCTGGAGTGGGCTGGAGTGGGCTGGAGTGGGCTGGACTGGGCTGGACTGGGCTGAACTGGGCTGGACTGGGCTGGACTGGGCTGGAGTGGGCTGAACTGGGCTGGACTGGGCTGGACTGGGCTGGAGTGGGCTAGACTGGGCTGGACTGGGCTGGAGTGGGCTGGACTGGGCTGGACTGGGCTGGACTGGGCTGGAGTGGGCTGGAGTGGGCTGGAGTGGGCTGGACTGGGCTGGACTGGGCTGGAGTGGGCTGGACTGGGCTGGACTGGGCTGGACTGGGCTGGAGTGGGCTGGAGTGGGCTGGAGTGGGCTGGACTGGGCTGGACTGGGCTGGAGTGGGCTGGACTGGGCTGGAGTGGGCTGGACTGGGCTGGACTGGGCTGGACTGGGCTGGAAGCGCGGGTCAATGATGTGGTCAGACTTATGGATTGATAAATGAACCTGATCTGAATCCAAGTCTAACAACACATTCAAGACTCTAACCTTGCTAATATTGCTCCAGCAGGGGGCGCTAGTCCTGCTGCGTCTGTGGGACTCAGGCCTAAACGGTTCACATGACTCTGGGTGGAAATGCTTTTATTTATTTATTGAACCTTTTAATATTTATTATTATTATTATGGGTCAGTCTGTTCTCGTTGCTTATACGGAGCGAGAGATTGACAGCTAAGTTAGCATCGCGCGGCTAGCATTGGACCGGACACAAACAGCCGCCGTGTTTGTGTTGTTTTGATTTTAGCTTTGAAGAGAATGATTAAAGATCCAGGTCTGGGATCGAGTACTAAACAACTGAGCCGTAAGAATGATTTATTACTTCATTACTTTGAATTGTTGTTATATTGTGAGTGACATCATTTTGCCCGTATGGCTTCAATACTTCCACATTTACTTATTTACTTATTTACTGAGAGCTGGAGGACTCAGGAGAGCACATGTGTGAACAGATAATGAGTCATTTGGAAACAGGAAGTAACAAGGTCATTTTCACACCCGGCGGTCGTACTTCGCACCTTTAGCTCATATTTAGCAGAATTAGCAGAAAAGTTGTACATTTCCTACAGTTGATGTAGAAAACAAAACCCAAACAAACTCAGACATTGCATTTGAAACGGTTTGATTCTCTGATCTGTGTCCGTGAATCGACAGCTTTGTGAAGAGATTATACTGTCGTGATTTAGGACGAAACAAAAATGAATTGAATTGAACAAAAGCAAACGACAAACTTAAAATCTGTTGTGTTTGTCGAAGCCACAAGTTTGTACGTGTTACTTTAGCCTGGTTTTAACTTGTTTTTATATATTTATAGTATGTTTTTAGAGTGGTTTTACCTGGTTTTCTTATGTCTGTTAACGCTGCCCTGTGATTGGTCGGTCCTCCGTGGACACTGTTTAACCTGAGACTGACTCTGCCGTTGAGCAAGTCGATAAAACCCGTGTATCGCTGTCGGTATCTGTCGAGGAGGAAGGCGCGGCTGCATAATTAACGTGTGCTGCAGTCAATTAAATATTTACAGAGAGCCTCCCGTCAGACTCCGCCATGAGCCGAGGAGGACTGGGATTAGACCGAGCTCGGAGCAGGATTAGACTGCACCAGGTCTGCTTTGGATCCGGTTTAGTCCCAGAAAGTTCACCCTTAATACAGCTGCAAGAATGTGTGTGTGTGTCTGTGGGTGTGTGTATGTGTTTGTGTGTGCGCGTGTGTCTGTGTGTTTACCTGTGTGTGTGTCTCTGTCTGTGTGTGTGCCCGTGCTTGTGTGTGTGTGTGTGTCTCTCTGTGTTTATGTGTGTTTGCCTGTGTGTGTGTCTCTGTGTGTGTGTGTGCCTGTGCTTGTGTGTCTGTGTGTGTGTCTCTCTCTGTGTGTGTGTGTGTGTCTCTGCCTCTGTGTGTGTGTTAAAAACAGTTCTGTTCATCTGCAACAACTGAAGGATGTTATATTTAATGCACTGTTATAGTTTATGATTTTGATACTATCTTATTGTGTTAGCACTTTGAGTTGCCTTGTGAATGAATTGTGCTATACAAATAGTAAGTAAGTAAGTAAGTAAGTAAGTAAGTTTTTATTTATATACCGCCTTTTCACTGCAGATCTGAGTCTCAAAGCGGTTTACAATTGTTAATTTTGGGCATTTGTCTCTCACTCCACACAGAGATGGGAGCGGGGTCGCCAGTACAGGAAGCGCATGCCAGAACTATTGGACATATTTTTAGTGGTAGGGGAAACCGGAGTACCCGGAGGAAACCTACGCAGACACGGGGAGAACATGCAAACTCCACTCAGAAAGGCCCTGGTCCGACCGGGATTCGAACCCAGGACCTTCTTGCTGAGAGGCGAGAGTGCTATCCACTCAGCCACCGTGCCGCCCAAATAAACTCGCCTTGCCTAAAGAACGGGAGGCAAAAAGCAAATTCAAATAAAGTCAAAATAAAGAGTTCTTTTCTGGAGTTTCCTTTCCCCTCTGCCCCGAGAGCCCGAGCTGTCAGGGCCGGAGTGATGCAGACCTGGAGGATAGCAATGCTTCAAACTCTGAGACAAAAACACCTGAACGGGACCGAAAGACGGACTCGGAGGCTTCTGGAGACTCCACCGTGACGTGAAAGTCAAGAGGATGTTTGTCCACAGGAAATCTGCCAAATGTCAGAGAAGTCACGACCGACGAATGTTTGGGATGGTTCTGGTTCTGTCGTTTCTCTGTCTCTGAAGCTGCGCCGAGGCCTGAGCAGCAAGGATGGACTGTTGCGGACGGTTACGGACAGTTGCGGACGGTTGCGGATGGTTACGGAAGGATGTGGTTGCGGACGGTCACGGTTCCTGACGTTCGGCCACTCTCACGTCTCAAAGATCGGACGGTGTTTATTCTTTTTGATCCACGGTAGAAGAATGTAGATAATCAAACAATAATTGATCCTTGAAGAAAAGCAGAAGAAACACAGGTTTGTGATGTTTCAATGAAGAAAGAGTCTGAGGAAGAACAGTCACTTTTGTAGCTTCTGTGAACGGTAGAGATAAGACTCAGGGGATTTCTGAGGTTTTCTTGTACAGCCCTCAGTCCGGTTCTTCTCTGGTCTCTCTCTGGTCTCCCTCTGGTCTCCCTCTGGTCTCCCTCTGGTCTCTCTCTGGTCTCTCTCTGGTCTTCCTCTGGTCTCTCTCTGGTCTCTCTCTGGTCTTCCTCTGGTCTCTCTCTGGTCTTCCTCTGGTCTCTCTCTGGTCTCTCTCTGGTCTCGCTCTGGTCTCTATCTGGTCATCCTCTGGTCTCTCTCTGGTCTCTCTCTGGTCTCTCTCTGGTCTCCCTCTGGTCTCTCTCTGGTCTCGCTCTGGTCTCTCTCTGGTCTCTCTCTGGTCTCGCTCTGGTTTCGCTCTGGTCTCGCTCTGGTCTCTCTCTGGTCTCTCTCTGGTCTCTGCAGCCGTGAACAGCACGAGCTCCTGTCACAGCAAGGAACGTCAGCGTCAACAGAAAGAGGTGCATTTACCACAACAGGACATCAGTCTGTTTCTGTCAAACACCTGCTGAATCACCACTACTGCTACTGCTGCTGCTGCTACTGCTGCTGCTGCTGCTACTGCTGCTGCTGCTGCTACTGCTGCTGCTGCTGCTACTGCTGCTACTGCTACTGCTGCTGCTACTGCTGCTGCTGCTGCTACTGCTGCTGCTGCTGCTACTGCTACTGCTGCTGCTACTACTGCTGCTGCTGCTACTACTGTTACTAGGGTTAGGGTTAGTAGTTACTGTTACTAGTACCACTACTTCTACTGCTGCCTCTGTCCTGGCTTCCTCTCCTCCTTCTCTTCACAGATCTCTCCATCTTCAGCCCGTACAGTCTCTGCTCAGGCCTGAACAAACAGACCATCTTCACTTTGAATCCAAAGTCAGTGAAAGGAGAAAACATACACACAAATCTAAAATCTGCTTCTTCTACATTAAAATCCAATTCAATATATTCTTGTACAGACCTGAGTCACAACAGGACTTTACACATTTGCCAACACAGAACAGAATCAAAAACTTTAAATACAAAAACTGCAATGATAGAAAACACATTGGTCTCTGTCCCTTATGGACCAATATCTTTATGTCCAAAAATGTCCATAAATGTCCAAAAATGTCAGGAAATTATAAATATTCATTGAATGAAGTCCGGGACTTCCTGGTTAAATAAAAGTTAAATAAAAGTTAAATAAACGTTAAATAAATAAAAAATATATAAAATCCACAATTTATTTTATGCCTGAACCATTTTTTCCTCTAAACTCTGAGCACTTCCAGAATCAATACCAGAGTTAAAGAGTTACTTCCTGTTCTGGGTAAGCACACACACACACACACACAGACACACACACACAGACACACACACACACACACACACACACACACACACACAGACACACACACACACACACACACACACAGACACACATACACACAGAGACACACACACACACACACACACACACAGACACACAGACACACACACACAGACACACACACACACACACAGACACACACACACAGACACACAGACACACATACACACAGAGACACAGACACACACACACACACACACACACACACACACACAGACACACACACACACACACACACACACACACAGACACACACACACACACACAGACACACAGACACACAGAGACACACACACACAGACACACAGACACACACACACACACACACACACACACACACTCTACAAGCCCCAGTGGTGCGTTCTTAAATACAGCCGGCACACACTGGTAATTTGACAGATTTGTGGCCAGCTGCAGAGAGGGCTTTGAAACCAGGAAGAGAAGTGTTAAAAAAAGGATTTGATTCATCCCAGAAGCGGCTTCTCTGCACCTTTTGATGAAAACACTTTATGAGCTGCAGAAAGTCTAAGTGCGTTACAAAGAGACGGACCTTTGGAGTCTTTCAGGGCTGTTTGGGGGAGGCCGTGTCGGCGGCGTCGGCCGTGTCGGCCGTGTCGGCAGTGTCGGCCGCGTCGGCCGCGTCGGCGGCGTCGGCCGCGTCGGCGGCGTCGGCCGTGTCGGCCGTGTCGGCCGTGTCGGCCGTGTCGGCGGCGTCGGCGGCGTCGGCCGTGTCGGCCGTGTCGGCCGTGTCGGCCGTGTCGGCCGTGTCGGCTGTGTCGGCCGGTCCGGGCGATGGAAGCGAATATGGTGAACCAGTGGATTCACCAGAGCGTTTACAGAAGATTTAAAGAGAATATTACTGAGCTGCACTGAAAGATAAGTTAACGTTTAGTTTCTGTGTGTTTTTAGAGCTGATGTTGAAATACTGTGACTCTTGTAGTCTAAGAATAACTTTGTTTGAACCACAGTGGGTCATTTCAGTCACACAAAGCATTGAAATCATTAATAATCACTGTATGTGTTCAAATGGATATTTCAGAACGTGTCGGCTCCAATATCCTCTTTCTGAAGCCAGTCACAAGAATAAAAAACTTGATAATAACGCTGCACTGCAAAAAGTGATGAAAAATAAGTCAAAAATTGCTCAAAAATTTGGCAAAATGTGTCTTAATCTGACATTCAGACTGAGCCTTAAAACCAGATTCTCCAACGGAACAAAACAAAATGATCTTGTTTTGAAGCGATACAGAAATGTCTCCTTTGGACGAACAGTTCTTTAAATAAGACGACTCCAAAACAATCAAGAAAAAATGGCGACTATTCGAGGAAATGAGAGGTTTCAGGAAAAACGATCTGCATCAGGATTATTCCCAAACTCTCTCCACTTTTTGAAAAATCTCTCTGGTCTAATTAGAAGAGCTCATATCGCCAGAATGATTGACAGTTGGGAGGACCAATAGTCTTGATGATACACCCAAAATTACAATATCCTCATATACCTTTAAGATTTCTTGAAACAAAAACAAAATATGAATAACAAGTATTATTCTAAGCCTTGTCAGCGGCATGATTAAAAAGTCCAAAAAACAGTGTGATTGGATAAAAACACTGAAATCAAATGAACTATCCATCCATCCATCCATCCATTTTCTTCCGCTTTATCCGTTGTCGGGTGGCGGGGGCAGCAGTCTAAGCAGAGACGCCCAGACTTCCCTATCCACACACACTTCCTCCAGCTCGTCCGGGGGGACCCCAAGGCGTTCCCAGGCCAGCTGAGAGACATAGTCCCTCTGTGTCCTGGGTCTTCCGCGGGGCCTCCTCCCGGTGGGACGTGCCCGGAACACCTCCCCAGGGAGGCGTCCAGGAGGCATCCTGAACAGATGCCCGAGCCACCTCAACTGGTTCCTCTCGACGTGGAGAAGCAGCGGCTCTACTCCGAGCTCCTCCCGTGTGACTGAGCTCCTCACCCTATCTCTAAGGGAGCAGCCACTCTGCGGAGGAAGCTCATTTCGACCGCTTGTATCCGCGATCTTGTTCTTTCGGTCATTACCCAAAGCTCATGACCATAGGTGAGGGAGGGAACGAAGATTGACCGGTAAATTGAGAGCTTTGCCTTTCGGCTCAGCTCCCTCTTTACCACAACGGTCCGATACAGCTCTGACTGCAGACGCTGCTCCCTCTTTACCACAACGGTCCGATACAGCTCTGACTGCAGACGCTGCTCCCTCTTTACCACAACGGTCCGATACAGCGACCGCATCACTGCGCACGCTGCACCGATCCGCCTGTCAATCTCACGCTCCATCCTCCCCTCACTCGTGAATAAGACCCCGAGATACTTGAACTCCTCCACTTGAGGAAGGACCTCTCCACCCACCTGTAGAGGGCAAGGCACCTTTTTCCGGTCGAGCACCATGGCCTCGGATTTGGAGGTACTGATTCTCATCCCAGCCGCTTCACACTCGGCTGCAAACCGTCCCAGTGCATGCTGCAGGTCCTGGTTCGTTGGAGCCAACAGGACGACATCATCCGCAAACAGCAGAGATGAAATCCTGTGGTTCCCGAACCGGACCCCCTCCGGCCCCTGGCTGCGCCTAGAAATTCTGTCCATAAATACAGTGAACAGAACCGGTGACAAAGGGCAGCCTTGGCGGAGGCCAACATGCACCGGGAACAGGTCTGACTTACTGCCGGCAATGCGAAATGAACTACACGAGTTTATGTTTTCACTTTTTGCAGTAATTGTCTTTGTCTTGTTGGAGAATCTGTCAGAATGTGTCAGATTAAGATAAAAACACTCGATTCAATCATTTATTACATTTTTGCAGGGTGCACATCATGAAAGAGAAGCTGCATCTCCAAACACCACAACTGTATACATTTAGATTCATTTATTTGCCATTTGCAGTAAAACCACATTGGAATACATCCGCAAGAGTCCCCAGGGTGCATCAGACACATACATTACAAAACTAGGTTAAAAGGTAGGGGCGACAGTAGCTCAGTTGGTAGAGCATTGGCCTTCAGGCCTGAAGGTCGTGGGTTCAATTCCCACCTCTACACCTTGTCTACCGACTCCCACTGATGACTGCTGTCGTTGTGTCCTTGGGCAAGACACTTAACCCCACTTTGCCCAAAGCCCCCGCTCAAAGATCAAGGCTCTGCTCACACTCAGAGAGCAGCCTCGTGTGGACTCACCACCTGCAGAGCCAGCCATATCTTCTGCCAGAGGGAAGAAGCTGGAACATGGCTTTTCCAGGAGCCAGAAGAATCATTGATTAGTCTAAAAACTCATGAAGACTCTCCAGAACAGACGGATCACAGTCCTCTTCATATATTACTGAATACAAAGCCACAATTTGGCCATCACGCTTCGCCGTCGGCCTTAAACACGGCTGTCGCAAAACAACAATCTGAAAAGGCATTTCCCGAGAGACAAAGGAAGCTGTGAGTCCGTGACAGGGCTCTCCTGTAGCTTACACTTATCCGGTGAGAGCCCACAATAAAAACAGTAATTACGTGGCAGCGCTGACAACAGACGGCGGACACCGGAGCCTCGGGGCAGTTGTTTGGACGCCGTAATAGTGGCCTGAGAAAGAATGGGCCATCAGCCGCCGCAGAGGCCGCATCGACCTGAGATGGTAATATACAGTTGGAGCAGACGTCAGCGATAGTGAGGAACAATGCTGGAGGAGGACCAATAGGAGAGCAGTTTGAAGATTGACTTTTTATTCTTTTCCAAACAGTGTCGCTGCGGTCGAAGAAGCGTGTACGGAGTTTAAACATTCTTCCATTTTGTATTAAAGTTAGAAGGTTAAAGATGGATCTATTCTAACATCTGGATAGTGTTGCTAGCTTAGAACTGAAGGACCATGTGCCCGGAGGATTCTCATGGTACTGCAGAATAAACTAGACTACAGTCATGTTAACCAGAAATGTTCCCCATAGAACTCAATGTAAACTAAAACAGACCTCAGCTGACAGAGAACCTGACAGAGAACCTGACAGAGAACCTGACAGAGAACCAGACAGAGAACCAGACAGAGAACCTGACAGAGAACCAGACAGAGAACCAGACAGAGAACCTGACAGAGAACCTGACAGAGAACCTGACAGAGAACCTGACAGACAACCAGACAGAGAACCAGACAGAGAACCAGACAGAGAACCTGACAGAGAACCTGACAGAGAACCAGACAGAGAACCAGACAGAGAACCTGACAGAGAACCTGACAGAGAACCTGACAGAGAACCTGACAGACAACCAGACAGAGAACCTACAGAGAACCTGACCGAGAACCTACATAGAACCTACACAGAACCTGACAGAAAACCTACATAGAACCTACATAGAACCTGACAGAGAACCTGACAGAGAACCTCCAGCTTTCATAAAGGTCAGCTGCTGTGGGATTTTAGTGTTCCTCACAAACTCTGCCCTCTGATTGGTCAGAACGTTGCCCTCTGATTAGTCAGAACGCTGCTCTCTGATTGGTCAGGACGCTGCCCTCTGATTGGTCAGGACGCTGCCCTCTGATTAGTCAGAACGCTGCTCTCTGATTGGTCAGGACGCTGCCCTCTGATTGGTCAGAACGCTGCTCTCTGATTGGTCAGGACGCTGCCCTCTGATTGGTCAGGACGCTGCCCTCTGATTAGTCAGAACGCTGCTCTCTGATTGGTCAGGACGCTGCCCTCTGATTGGTCAGGACGCTGCCCTCTGATTGGTCAGAACGCTGCTCTCTGAGTGCATCATGGGAGCTCGTCCACTGCACAGAACAGGGAGGACCACACGATGCCCAAATATGGGCGAGTTCCTCTAATCTGGCTTCAGACTTCTTCTTCTCTGACAAAGTTCAAATCCAGGTGAAAACAGTTCCGTTCAGCTGCAACAACTGAACGATTTTACGTTTACTCTTTAACAATAACACTCCCAGAATTCTGAAACTACTTAAAGACCTTATGACGGGTTTGATTTATTTAGAAATACAGTTTTAATACCATTTTATATTAGAAGAGAACTACTAAAGGTTTCAAAATCAGTTGTTTTTTTTTTTGTGTCTGATCCCCCCAAATCAAAATAACCCCATAGCAACGCCCTTAGAAACGAAAAAACTTCACAGCCCTTGGTGACGTCAGAACGGGTACGTTTCAACGCTGTAAGTTGTTTACAATTTGGTATTCGTTCTTTTTTCGCGGATATTCAAGATGACAAGGCCGTGTACAGCGAGTCTGAGATAAGTACTAGAATGTGACATTCTGTTGTCACTGAGATAGTCCAGTGGTTGTGTCGATGGACTGCCAATCCAGATACTTGGGTTCAAATCCCACCTCAGACACTTTTTCACTCTCAAAACGGCAATTTATGTGTAGTGAGCAATTGTCACCTGTAGAGGGCAGTATTGTGTTGGGCATCAGTGGAGAGAAGAGAGAAAAGGCAGTCCTGTGGCATAGATCCATGGTTTTCAATGCATGGGCGTAACCCGCTGTGACGTCACACACAGGTTAGAGCATAGACAACTTAAATTCATGAAAAACACGTTCTTTTTATAAAATATAGGATTTTTTTTGCCGGAATCTCTTTCAAATTGACATTGTCATGCAATTTTGATATCCACAATTTTTTTTTTTTAAACCCGTCATAAGGTCTTTAAACTTCCAGAGCCGCCATATTGAATTTTAAAGAGAAACTTTTAAACTGTTTGTTGCTATGGTAACTTGTAAACAGTGCGTTCCTATGGTAACTAGTAAACAGTAACTTTTGAACAGTGCGTTGCTATGGTAGCTTGTAAACAGTGTGTCTCTATAGTAACTAGTAAACAGTAACTTGTAAACAGTGCGTTGCTATGGTAACTAGTGCTGGTTAATGGTAAAACTGCTCACCTAAATAAAGAGATAATTTAATTAAAAATAATGATCAGAAACCGAAAAAGTCACAAATTTATGAAGACTAGAAATATACTTGAGCTGAGTCATTACATTTACAAAATTAAAATCTGTCAAATTAAATTACTTTTCTGGCTTTGTGTAGGATCTGTGCTCTACAAATAAACTTGCCGAGCCTGACCAATGAGCAGGGACTTGGTCAAACTTTTAAAAAGATAAACTATGATGATGAAGTTTCATTGATTCCGCCGGTCGCAGAACAAACCACAGTCACACTTTTAAAGGAGATGATGCGATAACGACTGGAGAGCGGCTCATTTAGTAAAACAATACATTTTTGGGACGTTAACTTTGCTGATGTTGAAGAACTGCCTCTGAACGTTACTGTCGGGCTAAGCATTTTTATTAAATATGAACAAAGTAGGAAGTTAGCTTAATAATGGATCACACTTAGCTTTTGTGTAGCTTTCTGCGTGGCTAAGCGTCGCACATCCATTCTCCTCTTGTGCCGTTCTTTCTGTATCAACAAAGGCCCGGACACGGCAGTTTGAGACGCTCATACAAACAGCAGAACATGTTGACGACTGAATGGGACACAATTAGCATTAGCTCAAAGCCGCCGTTAATGAGGAAATCTAAAATAAGTTCTTTGTCATTTTGCAGAGACGGGAAAGCAAAGGCGGGAAGCGGGATCCAGCGACGTACGACTATTTACTCACACATTGGAATTGTTGTATATTTTAGATCAAAACTCTCAAAAACAGAGGAATGAGGAAGTCTAGAATAACTTTGTTGTCACTGCAGAAGAAGAATAGTGTGTTTGAGCTTTTATTCTTCCATCTGTTTGTACAGACCAAAAGTTTGGACACCTTCTCATTCAAAGAGTTTATTTTCATGATTATGAAAACTGTAGATTGACACTGAGGGCATCAAACCTATGATGAACTCATGTGAATTATGTTCGTAGTAAAAAAGTATGACCCAAGAGTAAATATGTGTTATATTCTGGTTCTTCAAAGGAGCACCTTTTGCTCTGATACTGCTTCACTCTTGGCATTCTCTGGATGAGCTTCAACAGGACCTGAAATGGTCTCCAACAGTCTGGAAGGAGTTCCCATGATGCTTAGCACTTGTTGGCCCCTTCACTCTGTGGTCCAGCCCCAAAACCATCTGGACTGGGTTCAGGTCCAAAACCATCTGGACTGGGTTCAGGTCCGGCCCTTACACAGCCTGGTGCGGGTCTACAGCAATAGTCATGAAAAGAACTCAGTGAAGGAGATAGGGTGTCCACACTTTTGCTCTGTACTGTATGTTCCAATCATATCGTAGTAGTAGCAGTAGTAGCAGTAGTAGTAGGAGTAGTAGCAGTAGTAGTAGCAGTAGCAGTAGCAGTAGTAGTAGTAGCAGTAGTAGTAGTAGTAGCAGTAGCTGTTACGGGCTCCCCCGTTAGAGTTCTTAGAATGGTACAGTCCAGATATTATAGCGTACCAGGAGTGTACTACGGACTGCGGGTTGTAACTACATGCTTATGGCACGCTACTAAAAGAAGCTAGAATGCCAGTCATTTGTTGTGTCTTTATTTATAACACAAACAGTAGCAGTAGCAGTAGTAGCAGTAGCAGTAGCAGTAGTAGTAGTAGCAGTAGTAGTAGTAGTAGTAGTATTTATGTGTTTTGGCAGTGTTATTTTCTTTTAAACAGGGGAATGTTCTTTTGAAGAATATGTTCATATTTGTAAATCACTGTGGAGTAATTTTGCAAACCCAACAACCTCCTGCACTGCCACATTTGACTAATTTTTCATAAGTAAAAAATTGCTAAAATTTGGTTAAATGTGTCTTAATTTGAGCACATTCTGACTGAGCATTAAGCCAAGATTCTCCAACAAGACAAAGAAAAATAATCTTTTTTTAAAAGATATAGAACCGTCTCCTTTGGAATGAGAAGATAAAGCAACAGTTCATAAAATCAGACTAAATGTCTTTGTCCCGTTGGAGAATCGAGTTTTAACACAGTCAGAATAAAAACACTAGATTCAAGCATTTATAACTTCATAAGTTTCTCAAATCCTCACGTTCTGGTCGTGTTTTCACCAAACCCACTGCGGCCCAACATATACTTTGTGCTTTTCCTCGATTCTCTTGATTCACGATGATTCACCAAACGACAGCGCTTCACGCCGGCTGTGGAACTAATTGCGAACGCTATAAAAAAGATTGCGGCGGAAGATTCATGATGTGGAGGAGAAGGACGCCGGAGTCACCGCCCGAGAGCGCCGAGCTGACAGGAAAATTCACTGCAGCAGCGAGAGCAAAGCCCGACAAAACAGAATTAGCTCAAAGGACAAGAAACCGCTAACACCTGCTAACAGGAAGTGGCTCCGGCAGGACGGGGGCCAGGGGGGGGGGGGGGGGTAGTGGCACAGTCTATTGTACATGTTTTTTTAGTGGTTGTGGAAACCAGAGCACCCAAAGGAAACCTCCGCAGACACAGGGAGAACATGCAAACTCCACTCAGAAAGGCCCGGTTCTGACCGGGATTCGAACCCAGCGAGAGCCACTGTGCCACTTAGTTTCCTCATTCCAAAGGAGACATTCTTGTATCTTTTTAAAACAAGTACATTTTGCTTTGTCCCGTTGGCGGAGTTAGCCCCTCCCACCTGTTAACGCCGTCAATGGAGCAAATCCAGACCTTAGTAACAAATGAAATGAGTACCATGGAATAGTAAGACCAGGTAAGACCAGGTGAGACCGGACTAGACCTGAGCCTGTGTCTGTGTCGTGAGCTCAGGTGCTGGGGACAGACTTTCACGGCTTCTTTTGAGACAGCGGCGAAAGATCAATCGATACAAAAGCAATTTCATCTGAGCACAAAGCGTCAGAAACACAGAGGGCGGCGGAGAAACGGTAAAAGTCAGACCCGGTCCCTCTGCCTGAAGCTGGGCCACTGCTCAGGTCCATGTCCCACGGTTCTATCCAGTTATACTCCAGTTCTACTCCAGCTGGTCTATAATGTTTCTGTGTTTGTGTGTCTATGGCTGTGTATTATCTGTGACATGATGAATGTAACTGTTTCTGCTCAAAAGAATGAATGAAAATGAGAAAAACACAGTATTCTTGTGTCTGACTGTCTTTGCTTCAGACTAATATCATGAATATAGTCTCCACTTCTAGTCACATTTATGAGAAGCTAATCAGACGTGGTAAGTGTGGTAGAGTAACGGTTAATGTCACGTCATGCAGAAGAAAACAATATAAACAACAAACGAGACTCAACATAAATCACAGTTTCAGGAATGACAGAGAGATTCACTAAATATGACTTTTAACAGTTCCCATAGTTTTCAGGAGAGCTTTTTCAGCTCCTCCTCCTCCATAACTCTACTCTACAGACTCTTTGGAATGTGGTGATGTCACATAAACGCAGCCCATTGGGGTTTATAAACATGGAAATGGAAAACACATGTGTATGAATGTGAAGAACCGACTTTGACAAAGAAATAACTCACTCTTAGAAGCTAAAGCCAGGATTTAAGAGCAAAGTACTGTAGTGTTGGCGATTTTTATATCTTTGGCTAAAAATATGTCCATCCATCCATCCATCCTCTTCCGCTTAATCCATTTCTGAGTTAGGGGTGGCAGTCAGAGCAGCAGTACCATATACACCTGTAGGTATTAGATGTATTTATATGTATACACCTGTGTTTGTGAGATTTGAGCCACAAGCAGACTCTACACTGACCTTCTCTGGGTCCGTACAGAGTCTGCTTGTGAGACCGTCGTGAGACCCTTGTGAGACCCTTGTGAGACCCTCGTGAGACCGTCGTGAGACCCTCGTGAGACCCTTGTGAGACCCTTGTGAGACCCTTGTGAGACCCTCGTGAGACCCTCGTGAGACCCTTGTGAGACAGGACAGGGTAATATGATAGCTCTATGAATGCATGTGTGTAACAGTGTGACATCCTGACCTAGTATCCGTTACCATAAGACTGTTCCTGGTCACTCAGCCGTGTCATCCTGAGCTGGACCCGGTTTATCTTAGTCTGTCATTTCTATGTTATCTGTAATATCTACATTAAACCTTGTGTTGTGTTATACATAAAGCAGAGTCAGATCTTTCAGTCATAGTTCACTATATCTGTGTGTGGGAATCCTATTTTAGCCACGGCAGATCATTTACCACACTACAACCATTTTCCTGAAGCAACCGTCTTCAAACATGGATGACACCAAAGTTCCAAGAGCGTTTTCCGATCTTAACTCTCTCTAAATTCTTCCAAATTCTCTCAAACATCTGCAAATATACTCAACACAGACATCGCAACTGTCAAAACAAACGCACCCTTTCACTGATTCTGTTTGAACACATCCTCACAAACGTTCACGGGAATACCGTCTCTTTCTGAGGTCATTCCGACTCCTTAAAGACACGTAGGCGGGACAGACCGACTTCCTCTTCCATCCGTGGCCCCCTGCGATGCTGCAGACCCAAACTAACCGGGACTAAACTCATGTGAAATCAAATCCTCTCCCTTTGGTCTTGCTTTTTATGTGCACTGATCAATTTCATGTGTTTTTGTCTTTAAACCCGGGACGTACAGGATCCGATGGAGGCTGCAGATGTTGGCAAAGCGTAAACAGGTTTCCGAGCTCCCGGAACTTATTGGAGACCGGCCTTTTTCGAGCGGTTGGAATTGGATTAAGGAAGAGGGAGGTGAATGAAAAGCTTTTGAATATTAAACGCATTGGGAGACGGCGTGTGGTAAGCGTTTGGTAAAAAGGGTGAAGGCTTTAGCCGTCTGTGTGGAATAAGCCCGTTAGTCCACCTGTGCTAATGGATGATGTGGGGCAGGTCCCAGAGGTTTTATTCTGTATATCCTGTGGTGCTGCAAGAGTGAGGGAAAGTACTATGAAATCATTTAAATAAGAAAAGGTTTGAGATACTGCTGAAATACTGGAAAGTTTGCTCAGAAGATTTGTCTGGGAAAGAACTAGAGCAAGACTGAGGCACGTCCAAATCTGAGTAGTGTTCAGAAAGTAGATTCAGATTCAGTTTATTTGCAATTTGCAGTAAAACCACTTTGGAATACATTAGCAAAAGTCTCCAGTGTGCACAGACAAATACAGACATAAAACAACATTAAAAGACAAAAATAAAACAAATAAAACAGTAAACAAATGTCACTGTGAAATGGATCGACTAAAACAGTTCAAAACAAGTGCAAATCATTAAAGTGCTCTGTTCACACTGATAACAGCCTGTGGATAAAAACTGTTAGCGTAACGAGATGTCCTGCATCTTAGAGAGCGATATCTTCCGCCAGAGGGAAGAAGCTGGAACATGGCTTTCCCAGGGTGGCCAGAAGAGTCATTAACAATCCTAAGAGCTTTGTTTAAAAGTGTGGATTTATAAAGAACCTCCAGAACAGGAAGCTCACAGCCCACGGTCCTCTTTGCAGAGCGGAGCACCTTGTTTAAAGCTCTCTTTTCTTTATCTGTGATGTTTCCAAACCACACAGACACAGAACCAACAAGTTAACTCTCAATGGTGCAGCCATAAAAGTTAAGCACAATCTTAGAGTTTGTAAAATAGCATGATTTAAAAATGACTCTGCAATGCTTTAGCTCCGGAGAGGTTTAATCTGCTCAAGAGGAAAAAAGGTTAAATTGGTTCTAAATTCAAAGTTGACATTTCTCGAAGCTGTTGTTTGGACCAGGAAACACCAGAGAAGTATCCGTCCACATGGTTAATCTGGCCTTTGAGCCTGAAGGTTGTGGGTTCCAAGACCGCTGCTGTCGTTGTGTCTGTGGGCAAGACACTTTACCCACTTTGCCTGTGAGGAGCACGGACGTAACAACACGCTGCTGCCTAGATGTTTATGTTCATGGCGATTCATCAAACCAAATTTCTCGTGAGATCAATAAAGTTCTTCTTCTTCTGTAACATTTAACCTTCACAAGTCGTCTCATTTGTATTTCCCACTCACAGCGTCATCTGTAAAGGATCCAACGAGAAAAAGGACGTCTGTGAAGCAAGTTTGAATGCAAAAATAATGTTTAAAAAAGCTTAATTAAGTCAGAGATTTAGTTTTTGTTGATCCTTGTGCATGAGCTGCTCTTAAACACGTTCTGTCTTTGCCTCGGTGCGACAGGAGCAGAGTGGAGCATGCATTTGTCAGCGTGAGGATGCAGTAGGAAGTCATTTGTATTCAGTTTGCAGGTGTGTAAGCCCCTCACTCTGCAACACTCAAATGTCAAATATACATACATTATATTTAGATAAGCACAGACGGAGGAACGCCTCATGGTCCGGACGATAAGACGCTGGTGATCTCAGTCTGTGATGGTTCATGGCACTAGAATAACTGTAAGAAACTGATTATTATGGAACATGTTGGTTCTTTTTGGTGGAACTCGACAAAGCCACGCGTTTGTGAAATATTCTAATTGTATAATGTGTTTTATTTGGGTTTTTAACAAGTTTTGAACCAATAATAACAAACAAAGGACTGATTAATCTTATATTGTAAATTTAATCATTGAAGCAAAAGGACTTTTAACAATTCATCCCATTTTAACCTTTGAGCCAGGTTTATAATAATATGCCTCGGTTCTATACAGCGCTTTGTGGACACTCATACACGCATCACATCATTATCCTTTCTCTCCAAACTCAGTGGTGATAAACTACTGTAGCCACAGCTGCCCTGGGGCACACTGACAGAAGCCCCTCCCACCACCACCAACCATTCACACACAAGGACCATATCAAAGCAAGACCGCAGATGGACCAGGGAGAGACCAGAGAGAGACCAGAGAGAGTCCACAGAGAGACCAGAAAGAGGCCAGAGAGAGACCAGAGAGAGACCAGAGAGAGACCAGAGAGAGACAAGGGATTGACTAGAAAGAGACCAAGAATGGACCAGAGACCAGGGATAGACCAGAGAGAGACCAGGAATAGACCAGAGATAGACCAGGGATAGATCAAGACAGACCAGGATTGGACCAGAGTTAGACCTGCACCGACCGAAACCTTAATACAAGTTAGTAATTAGACAATACCCTTGTTCACAAACTTAGACAGCGTGAATGACTCCCAGGCCTCTCACAGTCTTCCCCGACTCACTCCACCGGGCCTCAGTCTCCCCCCTCTCCCCGCCTCCCCCACGCCTCCCCCACGCCTCCCCCCTCCACCTCCCCGCTCCCTCCACGATAGGTCTCTATGGCCTTATCGTCAGCGCTGCACGCTTGATCCTCTGGCCTCTAATTCAGCGAGCCCATCCGAGCACACGGCTGTTCAGGCAGAGGACTGATCTCTGCCACCCCCGAGGCCCGGAGCCAGAGCCACTGAAGCCCAAGGGAGGAGGGGGGGGAGAGGGGGGAGAGCGAGGGAGATAAGACAAGCAGAGGTCACGCCAATGTACAGAGAAATGGTCCACAACGGGAGCAAGATATGCGCAAGAAATGGTGGAATTCCAAGAGGTGCGTTTAAAGTGATGTAAGAGATCGTGCTGGGCGGGAGGGGTCATTTTCAGATCTATGCCCGAGCTATAAATACATTTAAATACCGGATTATAATGAATGAGAAGCTACAGAACCAGGATTATGGAGAGTGGAGACGAGGAAGTATGTGTGTAGAGTTCAAATTCAAATAACTTTATTAATCTGTGAGGAACTCAATGTACAGAGACCAGAGAGACCAGAGAGAGACCAGAGAGAGACCAGAGAGAGACCAGAGAGGGACCAGAGAGAGACCAGAGAGAGACCAGAGAGAGACCAGAGAGAGACCAGAGAGAGACCAGAGAGAGACCAGAGAGAGACCAGAGAGAGACCAAGTAATAGTTTATTTCCTAGCATCTTGCGCTATATAAACAAAGAGGACTTTCTTATTCCTTCCATCATAATGAACATTAGATCTTCGGTCACATTTAGCCCCAAGCCTGGAGCAGACGTTTCTTCCTGATATTCAGCTCGTTGGATTTTGAAGTAGAGATAAACAGATGGATCCTGTAAACGCTGACGCTGCAGATCTCTGTGACGTCCTCACAGGTGTCTTTGCTGCTGCGGCTTCTCTACTGTACCGTAAGAACCAGAGAAAGACACATGCTTTAATAATAATCCATCCATCCATCCATTTTCTACCCTTTGATCCATTTCTGGGTCAGGGGGGTGGCAATCAGAGATGCCACCCAAGTCTCATAGCACCAGCCCCTCACTGACCCTCTGCAGGTGGTGAGTCCACAGGAGGACGGCTGCTCTCTGACTGTGAGCATAGCCTTGATCTTTCAGTGGGGGCTTTTTGGGCAAAGTGGGGTTAAGTGTCTTGCCCAAGGACACAACGACAGCAGTCATCAGTGGGAGTCGATGGAGAAGGTGTAGAGGTGGGAATTGAACCCACGACCTTCTGGCCTTAAGGCCAATGCTCTACCAACTGAGCTACTGTCGCCACACCGCTTTAATAATAATGATAATGATAATAATAATAATGTATTTGTTTTATTCAGTTCTTTTCAGACGCTCAAAGTCTCTTCACTTCATTCTTCTCTCTCTCCAAACACGGTGGTGATAAACTACTGTAGCCACAGCTGCCCTGGGGCACACTGACAGAAGCCCCTCCCACCACCACCAACCATTCACACACACACCAGACTCATTCTAATGTGGGGGAAGTGTCTTGCCTAAGGACACAAGTACCAAAAACTGTGCTTGTGTGCAAAGTTCTCTGTCAGGTTCTCTGTCAGTAAATGCAGAATGAAGTGTGACATTTCACTCATTTACATCAAAATCTCTCTGGTCTCTCTCTGGTGTCTCTCTCTGGTGTCTCTCTGGTCTCTCTCTGGTCTCTCTCTGGTCTCTCTCTGGTCTCTCTCTGGTCTCTCTCTGGTCTCTCTCTGGTCTCTCTCTCTGGTCTCTCTCTGGTCTCTCTCTGGTCTCTCTCTGGTCTCTCTCTGGTGTCTCTCTGGTCTCTCTCTGGTCTCTCTCTCTGGTCTCTCTCTCTGGTCTCTCTCTGGTCTCTCTCTGGTCTCTCTCTCTGGTCTCTCTCTGGTCTCTCTCTGGTCTCTCTCTGGTCTCTCTCTGGTCTCTCTCTGGTCTCTCTCTGGTCTCTCTCCAGTCTCTCTCTCTGGTCTCTCTCTGGTCTCTCTCTGGTCTCTCTCTGGTCTCTCTCTGGAGGTTGGGGTTGTACAGAATGGGTTCGCGGCCCGATGGGAGTGTTTGGAGCAGATTCTAAATGAAAAATAAATGTGTTTAATCAGAATGCTCTTTCAGCGACTAATTAACACCTCATTTATCTGCTGGGATTTGATCCATTGTGTTCTTCTCATTAAATGTCACGTTAAAAAACAGACAGTTTTATTGTGGAGCCGCTGTTATCTCACAGACGCTCTGAAAGGACCGACAAAGATGCATTCAACCCAAAACAAAATTAGTTTTTGGGAGATTTCTTCACATTCACAGACCACAGGCTCCATGTGTTTGTTATTAGTGCATTTCCTGTTTTCACCGAGAAAGAATGTGAGGATTCTGGAGTATCTGGATATTTTGGCCACAATTTAATATCATTGTGATTCTTAACATCTCTCTGGTCTCTCTCTGGTCTCTCTCTGGTCTCTCTCTCTGGTCTCTCTCTGGTCTCTCTCTGGTCTCTCTCTGGTCTCTCTCTGGTCTCTCTCTGGTCTCTCTCTGGTCTCTCTGGTCTCTCTCTGGTCTCTCTCTGGTCTCTCTCTGGTCTCTCTCTGGTCTCTCTCTGGTCTCTCTCTGGTCTCTCTCTCGGGTCTCTCTCTGGTCTCTCTCTGGTCTCTCTCTGGTCTCTCTCTGGTCTCTCTCTGGTCTCTCTGGTCTCTCTCTCTGGTCTCTCTCCGGTCTCTCTGGTCTCTCTCTGGTCTCTCTCTGGTCTCTCTCGACACCATGAATGACACCATGAACCACACCGTGAACCACACCATGAACCACACCATGAACCACACCATGAACCACACCATGAACCACACCATGAACCACACAGAGGTTAACATTCTGGCAGAAGATAATAATAGTTGATAATAGTATAATATAATAATAATAGTTGAAGGAAGCCATTTTTGTGGAAACACAGACCACGCCTAAACAGAGGAGGCGGGTTCATGAGTTAGCCTCAGGATTAGGGTTTAGCTAACCTCATCCATACGTTATAAATCTCCAACGCCTTGAGAAAGTTCTTTGGATTAAGGAGGAAACGTCGGGAAAGTACAGATGATGGTGAGAAACCTTCCTTTTCTCCGTGATATGTAACGATTCATGTCCCTCATATTCTTCAGACTTCATCCTCGAGTTACTACAGACAATTACTTCATCAAATACTTTTCTCTACTGCATCCATCTAACACTGAACCAAATCCATCTTGTTCCCGCACCACTCGTGCATGGATCTATAATAATAACTGGATAGAGTATTACTATCTTAAAGCTGTCCCACCCATGGCCACAGGGGGCGCTGTGCTACTGCAGACTAAAGTCCCATAGAACTCAATGTGAACTGACAGACAGAGAACCTACAGAGAACCTAACAGAGAACCTACAGAGAACCTACAGAGAACCTACAGAGAAACAGAGAACCTGACAGAGAACCTACAGAGAACTTGACAGAGAACCTGACAGAGAACCTACAGAGAACCTAACAGAGAACCTGACAGAGAACCTACAGAGAACCTAACAGAGAACCTACAGAGAACCTGACAGAGAACCTACAGAGAACTTGACAGAGAACCTGACAGAGAACCTAACAGAGAACCTGACAGAGAACCTACAGAGAACTTGACAGAGAACCTGACAGAGAACCTACAGAGAACCTAACAGAGAACCTGACAGAGAACCTACAGAGAACCTAACAGAGAACCTACAGAGAACCTGACAGAGAACCTACAGAGAACTTGACAGAGAACCTGACAGAGAACCTAACAGAGAACCTGACAGAGAACCTACAGAGAACTTGACAGAGAACCTGACAGAGAACCTACAGAGAACTTGACAGAGAACCTGACAGAGAACCTACAGAGAACCTAACAGAGAACCTGACAGAGAACCTACAGAGAACCTAACAGAGAACCTACAGAGAACCTGACAGAGAACCTACAGAGAACTTGACAGAGAACCTGACAGAGAACCTAACAGAGAACCTGACAGAGAACCTACAGAGAACTTGACAGAGAACCTGACAGAGAACCTACAGAGAACCTAACAGAGAACCTGACAGAGAACCTACAGAGAACCTGACAGAGAACCTAACAGAGAACCTGACAGAGAACCTACAGAGAACTTGACAGAGAACCTGACAGAGAACCTACAGAGACCCTGACAGAGAACCTGACAGAGAACCTGACAGAGAACCTACAGAGAACCTAACAGAGAACCTGACAGAGAACCTGACAGAGAACCTAACAGAGAACCTGACAGAGAACCTACAGAGAACTTGACAGAGAACCTACAGATAACCTGACAGAGAACCTGACAGAGAACCTGACAGAAAACCTACAGAGAACCTACAGAGAACCTGACAGAGAACCTGACAGAGAACCTGACAGAAAACCTACAGAGAACCTACAGAGAACCTGACAGAGAACCTACAGAGAACTTGACAGAGAACCTGACAGAAAACCTACAGAGAACCTACAGAGAATCTGACAGAGAACCTACAGAGAACCTGACAGAGAACCTGACAGAGAACCTGACAGAAAACCTACAGAGAACCTACAGAGAACCTGACAGAGAACCTGACAGAGAACCTGACAGAGAACCTGACAGAAAACCTACAGAGAACCTACAGAGAACCTGACAGAGAACCTGACAGAGAACCTGACAGAGAACCTGACAGAGAGTGGATGTTAGTGTCCCTTGTCGTCCTGAACTTCATTTGAACAGGACGCCATCTTGGATCACCGGGGCTTGCACTTTTGTTGGAACTGTTTGATTTTCTGATCTGTTGTTGGCGAATTAACAACTTTGCAAAGTCCTCTGAGTCGCCGGCTGTGATTTAAAACTGTACAGATCTGCATAGACTTGACTGAAGTTTAAACGATCGGTACAAATTCAGTTTTAAAATTACAAGAAAAACCCACAAATTCCCAAAGTCTGTCTGGGATCGGGACCAAATGTCAAAGAACACACGAAGGTCTTAAAGGATCTAGTCCCATCTGCAGCGGATAAAGCCTGTATGGTTTTATGGTTTCATGGTTTCATGGTTTTATGTTCAAGCTGAGAGTCCCGGAGCTCTCGCTGGAGACGCTGCTCCGACCAGACTTATCCAGCAAATAATGTGAACGATTTGATTTTCCACCGAGAGCAAAGAAATGTGTTTGGTAGAAGCCGACGTCTGCATTTATAATTAAAGGAAATGATCGTTTGATAAACGCTGAAATGTTTGGGTTTAAGGAAAAAGATCGTTTCCCGTCAAGGAATTCAATAAAGTTTGGTTTCCAGGAAAAAAAGGAAATGATTTATGATTCAAATGTAAAGATTATCATGAGAAAAGATGAAAAAACAAGCGTCTCTCTCTCTCTCTCTCTCTCTCTGGTTCCTGTGGTTCCTCCTCCGTGCGTCTCCCACAGATCTAGAGGTGGGCGTGACGTGGGACTGACAGCCTCCATCACCGCTTTAGCGACTCATGCTAATCTGCAGAAAGCTAATAATGGATTACAGCCTCTGCTTTTCTCTTCGGCTTCTTCATCCATCGCTCGCCTCCGCCTCTCCTCGCACTGACTCTGGATTTATAACCGTTTTCTCATCTGGAACAGTTCTGGATAAAGGGAGAGTATACCTAAAGACTGTAGGTCTAGATTTGACTAGAACCAGGAAGTACCATCGCATCAAACCTGACTAGAACCAGGATGGAAAAACAGTGAAAATTAAAGCCGCAAGCGGCATCTAACGGCCCTCGGCGCACAACGCAACCGGGGTGGCGCTAACGCGCCATTTTCCCACTGCCCTGACGGGAGCGACACTGTGCTCCCGTCACATCATGAAGTCACCCCCCCCTTCCATAGAACCCCATTCATTTCACTGTGTACTACAGCAGGAGCAAAGCCATTCTGTGCCTCCGGCACAGATTTATCAGTGCTTGGGCACGTGCCGTCGCGTGCAGGTCACAGGATTGTGACTTATGACAGTTACAACAAGGTATTACCCGTTGGAAAAGCAATAGGCCCGTGCCCCAGTTGGGGCTCGGGCATGAAAATCTGCACAGTTATATAGCTCCCAATCAGTGTGTTTTATTTACAGAGCAGGTTGTAACGCTTCCCCTTCTTTTAAATCAAATAATTATCTTAGTGGTCTTGTGGACTGTTATATTTCCAAAACCAAAAGAGTTTTTCTGAAGCAGAGTAAGTTCTACTCAAACCCCCTGAACCCGGCGCCTCCTGATCCCGGCGCCTCCTGAACCCGGCGCCTCCAGAACCCGGCGCCTCCTGAACCCGGCGCCTCCTGAACCCGGCGCCTCCTGAACCCGGCGCCTCCTGAACCCGGCGCCTCCTGAACCCGGCGCCTCCAGAACCCGGCGCCTCCTGATCCCGGCGCCTCCTGAACCCGGCGCCTCCAGAACCCGGCGCCTCCTGAACCCGGCGCCTCCTGAACGCGGCGCCTCCTGAACCCGGCGCCTCCTGAACCCGGCGCCTCCTGAACCCGGCGCCTCCTGAACCCGGCGCCTCCTGAACCCGGCGCCTCCTGAACGCGGCGCCTCCTGAACCCGGCGCCTCCAGAACCTTCCGCCGGCGTTTTCACATGAACTATTCTCTTTCTTCAGTTTTTATCGCGGTGATTCTCCTTCTTTGAGAGCGTCCACAGACTCACGTCTCATCGCACAAACTTCTCATTTCTTTGTGTTTTTCCGACAGAAAGCATCGGGCTCAGGTTCAGACCCTCAGAAGGTGTTAGGTTTTCTACCCACGTCTTGACACAAGAATGATTTATTTATGTACGCAGCAAAAAGTGAGAAAATATGAGGTAATACAGGCTTAAATCAAATGTTTTTATCTAAAGATTCAAAGACATTTAGTCGTGTTTCAAGAACTGTTTTATTCTAATAATTATGTCTCATTTGAGAATTTAGTTTTAAGGCTCAGAGTCATTTTGTGAATTTTGAGACATTTTTGACTTATTTCTTGTCACTTTTTAAAGTGTATTCATGATCAGCAACAGAACATAGGGAGTAGTCGGCCATTTTGTATAAATGTCATTTCCGTGTTAATGCAAATATAACGTCATGAGATAAAAACAAAGACATAGAAGGACACGACTTTTCTGAGGTTTCTGTCTTTTCCATTTCCTTGTAAAGAAACAAAACAATCAGAAGCCTTAGAATAGTTTCTTATTATTACATTCATTGTTATTGCTTTAATCCAACCAGCGCAGAACATTTAACCTTTATCTCTCGCACCAAATAGACCAAAAATAGACCACAATAGACCCAGAATGACCCAGAATGACCCAGAATGACCCAGAATGACCGTGGCAGTGCTTCTGTCTAAACCGTCCCGTTCAGACGTCGGTTCCCGCTGCATCTTAATTCCTTCGCTCTCTCTTTTCTCATCTGCGTCGGGGTTTTTCCTCCACCTGCTCCGCTCTTTCGTCCAGATTCTTCCGGAGTATTCAGCCGTCGTCACATTGTCAGACTGCTTTATCCGACACAAACACAGAACCACAGTGATCCGTCCGCTCGGTGCCACCTGTCCTCACGTTCTCACTTTTTCTTTCTATGTTTTTCATTTTTCCCAGACTTGACAGTGTAATCCTGCCCCGGCGGCTGGCGGTGATTTATGAGGCCGGGGTAGAAAGGATGTGAGGACGGCCGGGGCTGGTGTTCGGTGTCTGGGTCGGGAGGCGGTGTTTGGGGAATGGGTGTTTGGATGGAAAGGCATCGGTGATTTCTAAGCAGTGGGAAGGTCGGCGGCTCTCATCACTCACTTGTGTTTTGGAGTCGGAGAGAAGTGAGGAGCAGAAATGTTTGAGACAGACCTTAGTTTGTTAATGAGTTAGCATCAGGATTAGGGTGTGGCTATAAAGCTCCAACGCGCAGTCTGAGATTTCATTCCCTGAAGAAGTTCTTTCGATGAAGAACAAAACGTCGCTAAGAAGTACAGATGAAGGTGAGAAACCTCCCTTTGCTTCGACTAAACCCTGTACGACTGAGAGCTCACACAAACTCATGCTGTAAAGAGGTTTTCCAAGAAAAAGAAGACGCCATACAAAAGCATTGGGTAATTCTCCTTCCTGGTACACCCCCACAGGTGGAGCACACGTGGACTTTTGTAGTTTCAGAGTCTCGTTCACGTTCACACGCTTTAATCTTTGAGCACAGACTGGAACTAACTCCTGTGTGTTCAAACAAAACATTTACGTCTGAATAGTTTCAGCTCCGGTTAATCTTTCCCGAGGGAGACGTCGCTGTGACAGAATACGCCCTGAGTTTGCATGTTCTCCTTGTGTCTGGTGGTTTGTACGACAAAAGAACAAAACAGTCATAAAGACGTAAGAACTGTAGCACTTGTTTAAAACAGGCCTTAAACCCATAACCTCAGGAACAGTTCATGTAAAGCACTAACGTTAATGAGTCTACATTGTGCTAATTAAGCCCAATTTAAATTATAATTCACAACTGGCATCGCTTGTGTTTGTGGGTGAGAAAAGCCGGTAACATATGCAAACCGAACGCACTGATTTAATTCCGTCTCAGGAGCCGCAAATTACATGCGAAAGAAATGAATAAACTTAAGCAGCGCAGTTTGATGAATTACATTTGCACCGAAGCAGAAGTGAGTTTAACAAAAACCACCGCCGTAATTAATCTGCCACAAACACAACCCAAGTTTATTCACTTCACAAAGGACCTGAAACTGAGACACACCCCGGTCCTTGGAAAACTCACACCCTCTCAGTCCTGGTTCAGTCCTGGTACAGTCCTGGTTCAGTCCTGGTACAGTCCTGGTACAGTCCTGGTTCAGTCCTGGTACAGTCCTGGTTCAGTCCTGGTACAGTCCTGGTTCAGTCCTGGTACAGTCCTGGTTCAGTCCTGGTACAGTCCTGGTACAGTCCTGGTACAGTCCTGGTTCAGTCCTGGTTCAGTCCTGGTTCAGTCCTGGTACAGTCCTGGTACAGTCCTGGTACAGTCCTGGTACAGTCCTGGTTCAGTCCTGGTTCAGTCCTGGTTCAGTCCTGGTTCAGTCCTGGTTCAGTCCTGGTACAGTCCTGGTACAGTCCTGGTTCAGTCCTGGTTCAGTCCTGGTTCAGTCCTGGTTCAGTCCTGGTTCAGTCCTGGTTCAGTCCTGGTACAGTCCTGGTACAGTCCTGGTTCAGTCCTGGTACAGTCCTGGTACAGTCCTGGTTCAGTCCTGGTTCAGTCCTGGTACAGTCCTGGTACAGTCCTGGTTCAGTCCTGGTTCAGTCCTGGTACAGTCCTGAAACCTACGCAGACACAGGGAGAATATGCAAACTCCACACAGAAAGGCCCTGTTCCAACCGGAATTCGAACCCAGGACCTTCTTGCGGAGAAGTGAGAGTGCTAACCACTCAGCCACTCTGGTCTGACTCCCGGCACCGGGGCCTCTGTCAGGAGCTCGTGAAAGTCGCACGTTCATGCACTTTTCTAACCAGTTCTTTGAAGGTCTGCGAAAGATAAAATACATGATATAATTCTTTCTTTTGCACAATTATTCTGCCATTTTAAACACGGAACTGTGTCGGTCTCTAAACACACACTTCTCGCTCCGGTCCACATGGGCTCAGGAGCAGCAGGAGTGAGTGAGGGTCTCTGCTCGTGCTGGTCACATGCCTCCTCCAAACACACGGGCCACCGGGTCTTGGCCTGAGTCTGGGTCTTGGCCTGAGTCTGGGTCCTGGCTCCGTGCTCGATCTGCCCGGGCCCCCAGCTGTGCAGGGGTCATGAAGAGCCCAGGGAGGGGGCACCGAGGCCACAGAAGGAGGCGCGACTATAGTGACAGAAGAAGAAGAAGAAAAGTCTAAGCTCTTTCTGTGATTATAGCGAGATGTGACGATGTTTAGAATGTTCTGGAAACTGCAGCGAGATTTTTAGTTATTTTTCTTTCTTTTGTCTGACTGAGATGCTGCTGCAGTTCATGGTTTTACACTGGTCCAGACCAGAGCAGAGACAATGGTCTGTCGTTGTGTGACCAGTGCAATGATTACACCTCAGTGAGAAACAGGAAGTGTCTGTGTCTCCCTCGAGTCAAACAGGAACAGACACAACCAGAAAAAAGCCTCAAGAAATGAATTATTCATATTTTGGAGCGGACCAATAGAACAACCCCCCCTAACCCTAACCCTCCTGCTTTCCTCAGTCACCGCTCTGAGTTGTTACTGAGTCAGATTTTATAAAACACCTAAAATGGCTGAACCGAAAAAACCTCCAAAGTGCAATTTCCAGGTTTGCCTCTCGCCTGATGTGGCAGAGAAGAAAACAGAGAAAAGGAGTTGTATAAGACTCAGACGCAGCCGGGGCTCTGTGAGGAAGTGGTAATATTTATTTATACAGAGCCTTTTTACAGACGTCACCCAAAGCGCTTTACAAAGTTCAGAGTCATATGCAATGCGACATCAATGCTTGCTAATTGCTAGTTTGTTAGAAGCTAGCATGTGTCCAGTATAGCAGCTAACCACTCCCAGACTTCAGCCTAATGTAGTGTAAAACTTTCACATTTTAAGCTGAGGCTTCTGTTATTACAGACACGGCGTTCATGTTCTGGGGTTGGGTTTGGTGGAAGGAAAGGGGAGTGGTTTAGACTCGGATGCTAATGCTAAAAGCTAACATGAATCCTTTACTGCACCTTTAAAGGCCCAAGAAAACAGATCAAAATGGACAACTCCCAAACCACTTTCTCCCTCTGTTCAGTTGAGAGTTTCCTCTTTAAATTATCTTCTGTGACGTCTGCAGCCGGCTTCACCGTGTGGCGGACGCCGTGGCGGACGCCGTGGCGGACGCCGTGGCACAGAGTGAAATATCGTCTGTATTATTGCACCAAGTGGAACACAGAGGATCCATTGTCACTTCTGCGTCTGTCCCTTTGACGCTGAACCACGGCTCACACACCTCCCCTTTAAGAGCGGCGTTCATTTCCACAGGTCTGAGGACTTCAAACAGCTCAGTGTGCGATCCTTTCTACACACAATGTGAAAAGAACGACCCAAATGGGAGGAATATGTTCAAAAACGACATTGGACTTTATCGCAGAGACGTCGTTCTTTTTGACAATTTTCCGACAAAGAGAGAAGTGAAAACGATGTGGGTTTAGTTTATATTTAAAAAGACAGTGTTGTAGGAGTCGTGGAGGAAGTGTTGGAGACAAGATGGAACATGGATGTGTTTGTCTGATTTGTTGTCGTTAATACAAATAAATACATTAAAAAAAACGTAATTCCAAGTTCCAAAACAAGGAAGCATGTTTAAAGGGGACAACACTGTATTAACAATAATACAAGTATCTGGACTTTAAAAGATTATTACTCAGAGTCTAAATTTACTTTCATAGATTATAACAAATATTTCAAAACCAGACAGATCCAAGAGATAGTTTGGATAAAACCCATAGACTGTAAATATTAAAGGACAGAGTCACGTCTATCTGTGCCGTTCTAACTAATGAGCCAAAAAATGTGCTCTACTGGAGCAATCCAAAATGGCCGCGAGTGGTCCCGCCCACAAGAAAATCGTGAAAAAACACATCTGTGCATGCGTCAGCCGGCACAACTCCATTCATTTAAATTAGAGACTTCTAAAGTCCACAGCGACTAAACTAGACTGGTCCAGAACACTCAGCATTGACTCACATGTGGAACGGAGCTTTGGGCCAAGAGACACTTTTGGACCATCCTGTAAAGACGTTTTCCAGAGGTAAGAAGATGCTATATGTTAGCATTGGCTAATTCTACTTCTGGGTCCACCCCCACAGGCCCGGGGTGGTACTGCAGCATGTCAGGGTCCACCCCCACAGGCCCGGGGTGGTACTGCAGCATGTCAGGGTCCACCCCCACAGGCCCGGGGTGGTACTGCAGCATGTCAGGGTCCACCCCCACAGGCCCGGGGTGGTACTGCAGCATGTCAGGGTCCACCCCCACAGGCCCGGGGTGGTACTGCAGCATGTCTGGGTCCACCCCCACAGGCCCGGGGTGGTACTGCAGCATGTCAGGGTCCACCCCCACAGGCCCGGGGTGGTACTGCAGCATGTCAGGGTCCACCCCCACAGGCCCGGGGTGGTACTGCAGCATGTCAGGGTCCACCCCCACAGGCCCGGGGTGGTACTGCAGCATGTCAGGGTCCACCCCCACAGGCCCGGGGTGGTACTGCAGCATGTCAGGGTCCACCCCCACAGGCCTGGGGTGGTACTGCAGCATGTCAGGGTCCACCCCCACAGGCCCGGGGTGGTACTGCAGCATGTCAGGGTCCACCCCCACAGGCCCGGGGTGGTACTGCAGCATGTCTGGGTCCACCCCCACAGGCCCGGGATGGTACTGCAGCATGTCAGGGTCCACCCCCACAGGCCCGGGGTGGTACTGCAGCATGTCAGGGTCCACCCCCACAGGCCTGGGGTGGTACTGCAGCATGTCAGGGTCCACCCCCACAGGCCCGGGGTGGTACTGCAGCATGTCAGGGTCCACCCCCACAGGCCCGGGGTGGTACTGCAGCATGTCAGCGCACGTCATTTTGGCCACTTTTGAGCCGGGACCCGCCCTCACTGATGAAACCAAATGTGTGTTTGGTGATAATCAGATCCGGCTGTGATTGGATCGTTCTGAGACTCAGGGACAGAACATAAAAGATGAACTCCACAGATTCACATGAACAACATCAGGAAATTACTTTAAAAAGAAATCATTTAAAAAAAGAAAAAGAAAATCTATGACCCTTAAAACGGAGGTGATGTTTCCGACTATTTCTTTCTGAAAATTAAACTTGAAAAGATTTTTTTTTTTTTTTTTAAATAATGGTTTTACATTGAATTGGTTGAATACAGAAGTAGAAGGGGCGACAGTAGCTCAGTTGGCAGAGCATTGGCCTTTAGGCCTGAAGGTCATGGGTTCGTTTCCCCACCTCGACACCCTCTCCACCGACTCCCACTGATGTCTGCTGTTGTTGTGTCCTTGGGCAAGACACTTAACCCCACTTTGGCTGAAGCCCCCGCTGAAAGATCTCAGCTCCTGTGGACTCAGCACCTGCAGAGGATCAGTGAGGGGCTGGTACTATGTGTACTGGGAGCAGCTCTGACTGCCACCCCCCTGACCCAGAAATGGATTAAGGGGAAGAAGAGATGGATGGATAGAAGTAATTAATGTGTTTCTACTCTGTGTAAAAATAATAATCTCTGAATCAAATGTGGATCTTAAAATATTTCACAAATGTGTGAACAAACCCAGACTAAACCTGGAGCTTCTGACTGTGAACAAACCCAGACTAAACCTGGAGCTTCTGACTGTGAACAAACCCAGACTAAACCTGGAGCTTCTGACTGTGAACAAACCCAGACTAAACCTGGAGCTTCTGAGTGTGAACAAACCCAGACTAAACCTGGAGCTTCTGAGTGTGAACAAACCCAGACTAAAGCTCTCGCTCCAACGCCGTTGTAAATGTAAATGTCCAGAACGTTCTCTACTTAGTCTAATCACCTCCTCTTTACTGCCGCGGGTCTGTCCCGGCCATGACACCGCCCCCGCCCGTCCCAGCGGCGGGCGGGGGCGGCGGCCATCTTGTCTTTTGCTGAGGGTGGAACACGAACAGAAGAAGTCAGGGTTTAATGTGCAGCAGGACCCTGAGGACGCCACGGGTCACGGGACATGACACAGATCCCAGATATGATCACACAGACAAAAGATAAACAGCCCCAATGGAAGATGGGGTCAGACTGTGATAAGAGAGAAAGGGTGAGGCAGCCTGAGAGAGAGAGAGAGAGAGAGAGAGAGAGAGAGAGAGAGAGAGAGAGAGAGAGAGAGAGAGAGAGAGAGAGAGAGAGAGAGAGGGAGAGAGAGAGAGAGAGAGGGAGAGAGGAGAGAGAGAGCAGAGAGAGAGAGAGGGAGAGAGAGAGGGAGAGAGAGAGAGAGAGAGAGAGAGAGAGCAGAGAGAGAGAGAGAGAGAGAGAGAGAGAGACCAGAGAGAGACCAGAGAGCAGAGAGAGGCCAGAGAGAGACCAGAGAGAGAGAGCAGAGAGAGAGCAGAGAGAGAGCAGAGAGAGGGACCAGAGAGAGAGACCAGAGAGAGACCAGAGAGAGACCAGAGAGAGAGCAAAGAGAGACCAGAGAGAGAGCAAAGAGAGACCAGAGAGAGACCAGTGAGACCAGAGAGATGCAGAGAGAGATGCAGAGAGAGATCCAGAGAGAGACCAGAGAGAGAGACCAGAGAGAGACCAGAGAGAGAGACCAGAGAGAGACCAGAGAGAGAGACCAGAGAGAGACCAGAGAGAGACCAGAGAGAGGCCAGAGAGAGAGCAAAGAGAGACCAGAGAGAGACCGGAGAGAGAGACCAGAGAGAGACCAGAGAGAGACCAGAGAGAGGCCAGAGAGAGAGCAAAGAGAGAGCAAAGAGAGACCAGAGAGAGACCGGAGAGAGACCAGTGAGAGACCAGTGAGAGACCAGAGAGAGACCAGAGAGAGACCAGAGAGAGAGCAAAGAGAGACCAGAGAGAGACCGGAGAGAGACCAGTGAGAGACCAGAGAGAGACCAGAGAGAGAGAGACAAACTTATCCCTCATTCTTAAAGTTTCTCACTTAACTCTTAACAATTTTCTTTAATAACCTTTTAGAGAAAACTTTGGGCCTGAAAAATGTCTAAAAACTCAGATGTAACAACGGTTCAGTAACTTCCCATCATGCAGTGCGGCCTCTCCTCAGAGACTGGAGATAAACACCAGCACGAAAGAGGCGGAGAACATCTTTTTAACAGCCTCACTTTTCGGACTCTTTGATCTCTTTGATGTATCGCTGTAATAAAAGCAGCTAAAGAATAATCACTGATCCATAAAGTGCTACGTCCATAAAGTGCTACGTCCATAAAGTGCTACGTCCATAAAGTGCTACGTCCATAAAGTGCTGCATCTGTAAAGTGCTACGTCCATAAAGTGATACGTCCATAAAGTGATACGTCCATAAAGTGCTACGTCCATAAAGTGATACGTCCATAAAGTGCTACGTCCATAAAGTGCTACATCCATAAAGTGCTACGTCCATAAAGTGATACGTCCATAAAGTGATACGTCCATAAAGTGCTACGTCCATAAAGTGATACGTCCATAAAGTGCTACGTCCATAAAGTGCTACATCCATAAAGTGATACGTCCATAAAGTGCTACGTCCATAAAGTGCTACGTCCATAAAGTGCTACATCCATAAAGTGCTACGTCCATAAAGTGCTGCATCTGTAAAGTGCTAGGGCTTCACTTTCAGCTCAGGAGGTGAGACTAAATGGGTTTTAATTAAAATTTAATCAGGGCTAATTTTCTTTTCCTTGACTGGATGGAGGGGGGGGGGGAGCAGAAGGTGCAGCAGGGAGCGGGGCGGCGCTGATGGATGGGGGACTCGTGCACGTTGTTAAAGTTTCATCGATCAGTCACTTCTTTAAAAAGAAATCTTAAAAACATGATTGAGCCGCAGCGAGTTTGAAACAAGAGCGATGACGGAGGCGCTGCAGACGGATGGTTTTCAGGGTGAGATCAGTTTAAAGGAGAAGGTGGTGTTTTTGAAGGAGAAGGTGGTGTTTTTGAAGGAGAAGGTGGTGTTTTTAAAGGAGAAGGTGGTGTTTTTAAAGGAGAAGGTGGTGTTTTTAAAGGAGGAGGTGGTGTTTTTAAAGGAGAAGGTGGTGTTTTTAAAGGAGAAGGTGGTGTTTTTAAAGGAGGAGGTGGTGTTTTTAAAGGAGGAGGTGGTGTTTTTAAAGGAGAAGGTGGTGTTTTTAAAGGAGGAGGTGGTGTTTTTAAAGGAGGAGGTGGTGGTTTTTAAAGGAGGAGGTGGTTGTTTTTAAAGGAGAAGGTGGTGTTTTTTAAAGGAGGAGGTGGTGTTTTTAAAGGAGAAGGTGGTGTTTTTAAAGGAGGAGGTGGTGTTTTTAAAGGAGGAGGTGGTGTTTTTAAAGGAGGAGGTGGTGTTTTTTAAAGGAGGAGGTGGTGTTTTTAAAGGAGGAGGTGGTGTTTTTAAAGGAGGAGGTGGTGTTTTTAAAGGAGGAGGTGGTGTTTTTAAAGGAGAAGGTTTTTTAAAGGAGGAGGTGGTGTTTTTAAAGGAGGAGGTGGTGTTTTTAAAGGAGAAGGTGGTGTTTTTAAAGTCACATTTATTCACTCAAAATAACATCAATGATTTTTAAAAAAGTTTTTAGCCACTGCTGTTTCCAGAGGTCTCCCATCACTGCACTATCCAAGGCCTGCCCTGCTCATCTTCGGAGGTCTGACTACTACTACTGCTACTACTGCTACTACTACTGCTACTACTGCTACTACTACTAGTGCTGCTACTGCTGCTACTACTACTACTGCTGCTGCTACAACTACTGCTACTACTACTGCTACTGCTACTACTGCTACTACTGCTACTGCTGCTGCTACAACTACTGCTACTACTACTGCTACTGCTACTACTGCTACTACTACTGCTACTGCTACTGCTGCTACTACTACTACTGCTACTGCTGCTACTACTGCTACTACTGCTACTGCTGCTGCTACAACTACTGCTACTGCTACTGCTGCTACTACTACTACTGCTACTGCTGCTACTACTGCTACTGCTGCTGCTACTACTGCTACTACTGCTACTGCTGCTACTACTGCTACTGCTGCTACTGCTACTACTACTGCTGCTACTACTGCTGCTACTTCTACTACTGCTACTGCTACTACTACTACTGCTGCTGCTACTGCTGCTACTACTGCTACTGCTGCTACTGCTACTACTACTGCTGCTACTACTACTGCTACTGCTACTACTGCTACTGCTGCTACTACTGCTACTACTGCTACTACTGCTACTACTGCTACTACTACTGCTACTGCTACTGCTACTGCTGCTACTACAGTACTACTGCTGCTACTACTACTGCTACTGCTGCTGCTGCTACTACTACTACGGGACGGCACGGTGGCTGAGTGGTTAGCCCTCTCGCTTCTCACCTATAGGTCTTGAGTTTGAATCCCGGACGTGGACTAGAAGCCACTGCTTGTTTCCTTATAGTCAGGTGAGGCTTTTCAGATGTTCAATAAATAAGATTAAATAAAGTTTGTAAAAAAACACTGATATCTTTGTGTAAATGTCTCATAATAAACAGTTTTACTCAATATCTTTCTAATACATTCTTTGAGGCTTCCATGGGATTTGGTGAAGTCAGGACTGGGCAGACATCTTTGATCCAAGATAACAACAACAGCAGGAACTTTTACATCAAAACATACACAGCAAGTAACTGAGTAAGTAAGTAACTAAGTAAGTAACTAAGTAAGTAATGTATATTTACTGTATATAGCGCCTCTCACAGACCAGAGTCAAAGCAGTTTACAATACATGTTTTTTAGTGGTAGGAGAAACCGGAGCACCTGGAGAAAACCTACATAGACACAGGGAGAACATACAAACTCCGAAAGGCCCTGTTCCGACCAGAATTTGAACCCAGGACCCTCTTGCTGAGAGGCGAGAGTGCTAACCACTCAGCCACCGTGCCGTGCTTCCTTCCATGTAAAAACATCAGCTATGTATGCACCGTGTCAGACCCTTTGGCAGCAACACAACACCAGCAATAACCACATTACCACACACACAACCACATACACACACAACCACATTAGCAAACACACACACACACTCCTGGTTCCAGTGGACTATATGGTGTTTCTCTCGTCCTCCTCCCGCCGCCGTTAAGAGTCTTCTGTTATTATTATCACTCTCTCTTTGCCGGGCGCATGAAGTGGAAATGTCAGAGGGGTTTTAGTGGAGGAGATGTGGCAGTTGTGGGGGTTGGGGGGTATTGCACACAGCTCATGAATAAGTCATGGGCAGAGAGAGGTGGGGGGGGGCAGAGAGAGGTGAGGGGGGGGCCGCTCGGGGAAGGCCCTTGTCCATTTGCCATTTGCACGCTTGGCCACAGTTGCAGAAGATGACCGGTCGCTGAGGAGGAGGGCTGTTGGCGCCGGAGCATACGGGAGACTGAGTGCACACAGAGACAGGGGGGGGCGGGGGGGGTACACACAGAGACAGGGGGGGGCGGGGTACACACAGAGACAGGGGGGGGCGGGGTACACACAGAGACAGGGGGGGGCGGGGTACACACAGAGACAGGGGGGGGCGGGGTACACACAGAGACAGGGGGGGCGGGGGTACACACAGAGACAGGGGGGGGGGGGGGGGTACACACAGAGACAGGGGGGGGGCGGGGTACACACAGAGACGGGGGGGGGGGGGGGCGGGTACACACAGAGACAGGGGGGGGGGAAATTGACTCAGAGGTTCTGGATGACGAGCCAATTGGACGCTAGAACTGTTTCTTAAAGGACACATATCATTCAAGATTAATTCATTATGTCCCGTAGGAAATGTGTAATGGACTCACAGTTTACTGTTCTGAAGAAGTAAGACAGACGTAAAACACAGTAACACGGACATAAACCATCAGCTCTGCTCCATGGTCCGCATTCAGGAGGTTCACAGATATGAGTACGAACCAGTTTGGGCAAGTCTCGGCTCAAAAATGTCCAAAATGGCGTGCGCTGACATGCTGCAATACCACCCCGGGCCTGTGGGGGTGGACTCGGACTAAGAATTATCCAGTGCTAATGTAGAGCATCTTCTTAATTCTCGAAAACATATTTAGAGGATGGACCAAAAGTGGTTCTTGGTCCAGATGTGGTTCTTGGTCCAAAAGTGGTTCTTGGTCCAAAAGTGGCTCTTGGTCCAAAAGTGGCTCTTGGTCCAAAAGTGGCTCTTGGTCCAAAAGTGGCTCTTGGTCCAAAAGTGGCTCTTGGTCCAAAAGTGGTTCTTGGTCCAAAAGTGGCTCTTGGTCTAAAAGTGGTTCTTGGTCCTCCTGGTTCCAGATTCTGTCTGACGGGAGTATATGTTTTTGGACCAGTCTAGTTTAGTCGCTGTGGACTTTAGAATGCACTCTTTGAATGAACAGGGCTAATGCAGCTAACACATGCACAGATGCGGCTTCTTCTTCTCCTGTTTCCAGCAGGTTCTGATGGGAGGAGGCCTGATGGGAGGAGCTCATTGACAACGGTCTGAGGTGTTTCTAAAAACAGTCTCCTCAAATATCTGCTGCAAAGATGGATGCTCCCTCACTCCCGTGGCCTTATCTGCAAACTTCTGCTTTTGTTTTAACAGTTAAATTCCCAAAGCACACACACAGACTGTATCTTTTCACACTCTCCATCACAGCACGAGTCCAAAACATGCCAAATATCACCGTTATCTTTCATGAACTTCATCACGGACAGAGCAGTATTCTTCCATTTATAACTAATATTTGGATAGTTTTCATGAAGAGAAAGATCCCTGTGAGTTTTAATGGTCATACTCACTCCACTGTCTGACTTTTAGTCTACTTTTAGTAGCAAACTATACTGAGAGTGAGAATCTTTTTACACAGATGTTATTATAACTTCAAGCTGATTGGGCGAAGTGACGCTGTGTGCCCGCCTACCAAGGTTTGACTTAAACCAATCCCGGTAACATCTTTGCTGTCCAGAAATGCACAAAGCGCCTCTCGCTGTTCATCTTTCAAAAAAGAAATTGGAGATTCTGCTAAAACTGACTTGATAGCTTCAGCTACGCATCCGTCCTCCTGCGTAGCCATGTTTGTTTTGCTTCGGCCCGGCACTTCTTGCTTTCGTCAAACCCGGATATCCCGCCCTAAACCCCCAGACTGGCGCGTGATTGGCTTGAACACCGAGATGTTCTACTGGAAAAAGGTTGGCCTGGAGCGGGCAAGATGTATTCTCCAGTGTTTGTGAACCACAAATACTGCGAGGATTCAGCTTCAGGTGAGGTTAATGTTATTACATAGTTCACCTTCAGTGGTTTATAACTGTCTGTTTTCACCACAGAAGAAAACCAGCTTATTACTAAATGAATGATTGAAAACTGACCTTAACTCCTCGTACATAGATTTCGGTAAAGCAGTAATTCCACAAACCACTTCAGCAGGACCTTGGAAACAAGATCAGTGAAAGAAACCAATGAACCACCGTCGGGAAAGATCCGTCGCTGAAAAGAATTGTCCATTTCCAGCGCGAACCGTTACATCATAAACAACGGCAGCGGAGAGCGTCTTATCTCCTCACGCCTCATCTCGGGTTATGAACTCAATTATTGTGTTGTTGATTGCCTTAGTCTGTTGGCTGTCTTTCCAATGTCCTTTATATATAGTGTTCAAAGCCACTTCTGTAATCAAAGCCACCGCGAGTCGTCGACAAACAACACGGAATCCATTTTGGTCAGACTTTCTCCTCTGTCTTTGAGAACAGCATTTGGATTGGAATATTTCAAAAAGATACAGTCAACAAATCATAGAAAAAAGTGTAAGATACAACCGTTGCAGCTTGGTCTTACCACACAATGGTACTCATTTCATTTGTACTAAGGTCTGGATTGTCTCCATTGACTCCGTTAACAGGTGGGAGGGGCTAACTCCTTTTGCAGATTGTAACCATTGGATCTGAGTTTACTGTGACGTATGTAATGAGCCCGAGTGAGTCGTTAGCATTTAGCCTAGCTTTAGCATTAGCCTAGCTTTAGCATTTAGCCTAGCTTAGGCATGTCCGACATGTCTCCGACAAACTACAACCAGCAAATTCAGCACAAACTCTTGACGTCACCGACACGACCTACAACACCCGCCTCCCCCGCTCTCTGATTGGTCGGAGCGGATTCAACCGAGGAAACCACTAGGATCAGACCCAGACAGACAAAAAACGGATCTACAAATGCATTACGAGGCCATATCTCAGAATCGTAGTAACAAAATGTGACCATTTGGCTCATCTCGACATCCAGGAGGCCAGTCCCTGTGCTCCTCAGAGTCCCAGCCGGAGGCCAGTCCCTGTGCTCCTCTGAGTCCCAGCAGGAGGCCAGTCCCTGTGCTCCTCAGAGTCCCAGCAGGAGGCCAGTCCCTGTGCTCCTCAGAGTCCCAGCAGGAGACCAGTCCCTGTGCTCCTCAGAGTCCCAGCAGGAGGCCAGTCCCTGTGCTCCTCAGAGTCCCAGCAGGAGGCCAGTCCCTGTGCTCCTCAGAGTCCCAGCAGGAGTCCAGTCCCTGTGCTCCTCAGAGTCCCAGCAGGAGACCAGTCCCTGTGCTCCTCAGAGTCCCAGCAGGAGTCAGTCCCTGTGCTCCTCAGAGTCCCAGCAGGAGTCAGTCCCTGTGCTCCTCAGAGTCCCAGCAGGAGTCAGTCCCTGTGCTCCACAGAGTCCCAGCAGGAGGCCAGTCCCTGTGCTCCTCAGAGTCCCAGCAGGAGGCCAGTCCCTGTGCTCCTCAGAGTCCCAGCAGGAGCCAGTCCCTGTGCTCCTCAGAGTCCCAGCAGGAGCCAGTCCCTGTGCTCCTCAGAGTCCCAGCAGGAGTCAGTCCCTGTGCTCCTCAGAGTCCCAGCAGGAGGCCAGTCCCTGTGCTCCTCAGAGTCCCAGCAGGAGTCAGTCCCTGTGCTCCTCAGAGTCCCAGCAGGAGTCAGTCCCTGTGCTCCTCAGAGTCCCAGCAGGAGTCAGTCCCTGTGCTCCACAGAGTCCCAGCAGGAGGCCAGTCCCTGTGCTCCTCAGAGTCCCAGCAGGAGGCCAGTCCCTGTGCTCCTCAGAGTCCCAGCAGGAGTCCAGTCCCTGTGCTCCTCAGAGTCCCAGCAGGAGGCCAGTCCCTGTGCTCCTCAGAGTCCCAGCAGGAGTCAGTCCCTGTGCTCCTCAGAGTCCCAGCAGGAGTCAGTCCCTGTGCTCCTCAGAGTCCCAGCAGGAGTCAGTCCCTGTGCTCCACAGAGTCCCAGCAGGAGGCCAGTCCCTGTGCTCCTCAGAGTCCCAGCAGGAGGCCAGTCCCTGTGCTCCTCAGAGTCCCAGCAGGAGCCAGTCCCTGTGCTCCTCAGAGTCCCAGCAGGAGGCCAGTCCCTGTGCTCCTCAGAGTCCCAGCAGGAGTCAGTCCCTGTGCTCCTCAGAGTCCCAGCAGGAGGCCAGTCCCTGTGCTCCTCAGAGTCCCAGCAGGAGTCAGTCCCTGTGCTCCTCAGAGTCCCAGCAGGAGTCAGTCCCTGTGCTCCTCAGAGTCCCAGCAGGAGTCAGTCCCTGTGCTCCACAGAGTCCCAGCAGGAGGCCAGTCCCTGTGCTCCTCAGAGTCCCAGCAGGAGGCCAGTCCCTGTGCTCCTCAGAGTCCCAGCAGGAGGCCAGTCCCTGTGCTCCTCAGAGTCCCAGCAGGAGGCCAGTCCCTGTGCTCCTCAGAGTCCCAGCAGGAGGCCAGTCCCTGTGCTCCTCAGAGTCCCAGCAGGAGCCAGTCCCTGTGCTCCTCAGAGTCCCAGCAGGAGTCAGTCCCTGTGCTCCTCAGAGTCCCAGCAGGAGTCAGTCCCTGTGCTCCTCAGAGATGCACTTTGGTTTGAGGCCGTGGAGAGACTTGTATTTAAATGCATGTAAAACAATCATAGACATTTAAAGTTACTCGTTCGGCCTAAAATCGACGCTTTTAAAGATTTCCTGAGAATCAACATCTCTCTCGTCTCAAGACAAAATCCTCGAAAACGGCATAAAAAATCTTGGGACGAACATGGAGAGAGATGATTGTGTAGATTCTGCAGCGGTCGGGAAACTAATGCCTTATCTGTAGAAGTGTCTGATCCAATAACTCATGGGAGGTTAAGCTAGCATTGATCCACCCTGATGCCCCGCCCCCTCCACTGCTCTCTCTTCGCCGCCATCCAACCACGGCAGATGGGAATCGATAGAAAATCAAGGAAGCGTCTGGGAAAAATAAGTTGAAATGTTCCAGAGAGTGAACTTTTACTTCAAAGGGGTGAGAGGGAATGGGTGGGGGAGGTGGGGGAGGAGGGGGGGGGGGGGGACAGTGTTTGGAAGATTGGACCTCGCAGCAAATTGAGGTGAAAAAGTCAGAAGGACAGAGAAGAGACAAGGTCAAAAACACCGGCGTTTGAGCTGTTAGCACGGGGAGACACCTCGACAGCAAAGGGCAAAACCATTCTAGTTTTTTAAATCTTTTTTTTGAGACGAGAGGCGCCGGAGGAGGGTCTGTCGGGCGACTGTCGGGGGTCTGTCGGGCGACTGTCGGGGGTCTGTCGGGGGTCTGTCGGGCGACTGTCGGGGGTCTGTCGGGGGACTGTCGGGGGTCTGTCGGGCGACTGTCGGGGGTCTGTGTCGGGGGTCTGTCGGGGGACTGTCGGGGGTCTGTCGGGGGTCTGTCGGGGACTGTCGGGGGTCTGTCGGGGGTCTGTCGGGGGTCTGTCGGGCGACTGTCGGGGGTCTGTCGGGGGACTGTCGGGGGTCTGTCGGGCGACTGTCGGGGGGTCTGTCGGGCGACTGTCGGGGGTCTGTCGGGGGTCTGTCGGGGGACTGTCGGGGGTCTGTCGGGCGACTGTCGGGGGTCTGTCGGGCGACTGTCGGGGGACTGTCGGGGGACTGTCGGGGGTCTGTCGGGGGACTGTCGGGGGTCTGTCGGGGGACTGTCGGGGGTCTGTCGGGGGACTGTCGGGGGACTGTCGGGGGACTGTCGGGGGACTGTCGGGGGTCTGTCGGGGGACTGTCGGGGGACTGTCGGGGGTCTGTAGTCGGGGGACTGTCGGGGGACTGTCGGGGGTCTGTCGGGGGACTGTCGGGGGACTGTCGGGGGACTGTCGGGGGACTGTAGTCGGGGGACTGTAGTCGGGGGACTGTCGGGGGACTGTCGGGGGACTGTCGGGGGACTGTCGGGGGACTGTAGTCGGGGGACTGTCGGGGGACTGTAGTCGGGGGACTGTCGGGGGACTGTCGGGGGTCTGTCGGGGGACTGTCGGGGGACTGTCGGGGGACTGTCGGGGGACTGTAGTCGGGGGACTGTCGGGGGACTGTAGTCGGGGGACTGTCGGGGGACTGTCGGGGGTCTGTCGGGGGTCTGTCGGGGGACTGTCGGGGGACTGTCGGGGGACTGTCGGGGGTCTGTCGGGGGACTGTCTGGGGTCTGTCGGGGGACTGTCGGGGGACTGTCGGGGGACTGTCGGGGGTCTGTCGGGGGACTGTCGGGGGACTGTCGGGGGTCTGTAGTCGGGGGACTGTCGGGGGACTGTCGGGGGTCTGTCGGGGGACTGTCGGGGGACTGTCGGGGGACTGTCGGGGGACTGTAGTCGGGGGACTGTCGGGGGACTGTAGTCGGGGGACTGTCGGGGGACTGTCGGGGGACTGTCGGGGGACTGTCGGGGGACTGTAGTCGGGGGACTGTCGGGGGACTGTAGTCGGGGGACTGTCGGGGGACTGTCGGGGGTCTGTCGGGGGACTGTCGGGGGTCTGTCGGGGGTCTGTCGGGGGACTGTCGGGGGTCTGTCGGGGGACTGTCGGGGGTCTGTCGGGGGACTGTCGGGGGACTGTCGGGGGACTGTCGGGGGTCTGTCGGGGGACTGTCGGGGGACTGTCGGGGGACTGTCGGGGGTCTGTCGGGGGACTGTCGGGGGTCTGTCGGGGGACTGTCGGGGGACTGTCGGGGGACTGTCGGGGGTCTGTCGGGGGACTGTCGGGGGTCTGTCGGGGGACTGTCGGGGGACTGTCGGGGGACTGTCGGGGGACTGTCGGGGGTCTGTCGGGGGACTGTAGTCGGGGGACTGTCGGGGGACTGTCGGGGGTCTGTCGGGGGACTGTCGGGGGACTGTCGGGGGTCTGTCGGGGGACTGTCGGGGGACTGTCGGGGGTCTGTCGGGGGACTGTCGGGGGACTGTCGGGGGACTGTCGGGGGTCTGTCGGGGGACTGTCGGGGGTCTGTCGGGGGACTGTAGTCGGGGGACTGTCGGGGGTCTGTCGGGGGACTGTCGGGGGTCTGTCGGGGGACTGTCGGGGGTCTGTCGGGGGACTGTCGGGGGTCTGTCGGGGGACTGTCGGGGGTCTGTCGGGGGACTGTCGGGGGACTGTCGGGGGACTGTCGGGGGTCTGTCGGGGGACTGTCGGGGGTCTGTCGGGGGTCTGTCGGGGGTCTGTCGGGGGACTGTCGGGGGACTGTAGTCGGGGGACTGTCGGGGGTCTGTCGGGGGACTGTCGGGGGACTGTCGGGGGACTGTCGGGGGACTGTCGGGGGTCTGTCGGGGGACTGTAGTCGGGGGACTGTCGGGGGTCTGTCGGGGGACTGTAGTCGGGGGACTGTCGGGGGTCTGTCGGGGGACTGTCGGGGGACTGTCGGGGGTCTGTCGGGGGTCTGTCGGGGGACTGTAGTCGGGGGACTGTCGGGGGTCTGTCGGGGGACTGTCGGGGGACTGTCGGGGGACTGTCGGGGACTGTCGGGGGTCTGTCGGGGGACTGTCGGGGGACTGTCGGGGGACTGTCGGGGGACTGTCGGGGGACTGTCGGGGGACTGTAGTCGGGGGACTGTCGGGGGTCTGTCGGGGGACTGTCGGGGGACTGTAGTCGGGGGTCTGTCGGGGGTCTGTCGGGGGTCTGTCGGGGGACTGTCGGGCGACTGTCGGGGGTCTGTCGGGGGACTGTCGGGGGACTGTAGTCGGGGCTATTCACAGGAAAGACCACATCCAGAGCTTTCCGAGCGCTTTGTCCTGGTCCTGGAGAGATCCGAACAAAGGCAAGGACAGAGGCAGCGGGTGGAGAGGAAAGTGGTTTGAAAAGAGGCCATCGCAAAAGAGTTTAGGGCGAGATCCATCGTTAACATTGTTTACATTGTTTACATTGTTTACTATCCCAGAGAATAGATTTGACGTTGAAGCTACGCCAAAAAACATGCGATAAAGTCATATTTTGTTCAAGCAGATTGTCAATTTTTGTTGTTGTCGTGAGCTAGCATGAAGGGCTAATATCACAGAGATTAATAGGACTAGAGATGTGCATATATGTCAAAACAGCCACCTGCATGTAAGACCTTTGAAGCTAAGCAGGGAAGGGCCTGGTTAGTGCTGTGATGGGTGTACCTTAGATAGAAGTGTTACTGATTTGTATTATGCCTTACTTTATTCTTTACCTCTCGTCTTTGACTGTTGCACCAAGAGCCAAAGCAGTTTCCTGGTCTGTGACTTCTTGTTGTTTACGTGGCAATAAAAAAGTGCCAGACTGTGGTTGTGTCCTTAGGCAAGACACTTCCCCCACATTAGAATGAGTCTGGTGTGTGGATGGTTGGTGGTGGTGGGAGGGGCCTCAGAAGTGATTAAGAATAAGTAAAGCAGGAACATACTATGGCCTGGAAGACGGTAAAGGAGTCGACATGACAGAAGCAAACAAGTTGAAGCAAAAAGTAAATCCAAGGTTTCAGAAACGCAATAAATCTGTTTAAATTGTGACAAAATTGGCCCAAAAATAACAAAGTTTAAAGGATGTTGTTGGTGACTGTAAACGCACACTTTATTGTCTGTACAGGAACATTTCTCTCCTGCATTTGACCCATCCTGATGCAACTAAGGCTTCTGCTGGAGGATTTACCTATTTTACATGTTATTAGTGGTAGGGGAAACCGGAGCACCTGGAGGAAACTCACACAAACACGGGGAGAACATGCAAACTCCACTCAGAAAGACCCAGTTCCGACCGGCATTCAAACCCAGGACCTTCTTGCTGAGAAGCGAGAGTGCTAACCACTCAGCCACCGTGCAGATTGGAGCGGTCGACGGCACAGACTGGTTGCCTCGCCTCTGTCAGTGTGCCCCAGGGCAGCTGTGGCTACAGTGGCAGTTGTGGTGAATGAGTAATGACATGTGAAGCGTCCAAAAAGCAATGAATTAAAATTAAAACTAAAACTCACCGGAAAACACCATTTTTACGCAGCTCCATCAGCGTCAGTATTTATCAACTCAACGTTATCGGATTCTCAATAATTCATTCATTTTGGTAATTAAATCATGGCCGATGCTCGGAAATGTTAGTTTGCATTTGTTAATATAACACGACGGACAGAAAACTATAATTATAAATGTCCCTCAACATCTGGTTCAGTGGCTCCCATGAGAAATGAAAACTGTCGTCGACAAATCACAACAACAACATTTTAATAATCGACATTTCTCAAATTGAAGGAAAATGATGGATTTATTTTCCATGTTTTTAACTAACTGTTGACTACACTCCTGTATATATGCCGTTTTCGATGATTTCACTGACTTTCAAGACCCATAGATTATTTTGTGCTTTGACGATAAGAAATATGAAACCAGATTCTGAAAGACTGGAATGTTTACTTTCAGCAGCAAAAATAAGTTTGATTTTAGCTGTTTTTGTTCTCCTGTGATCTCCGGTCGAATAGAGGGAAGTTTGACAGAAATCACTGATCTCAGACACGTCACAGGCAGTCAAAGGGTCAAGAGCGTTCACACATCTGGTTTAGTGTATGGTCAGAGAAGGAAGGGCTCATGGACGAAGTTCTGCTCCTATTTGGTCTCAATGCATTTGTAAATCTCAGCTCATGCAGAAGGAAACTCAAAGTGCTGAACGAAACAAGATAGAAACTAAATCTTACAGTCAGGTCTCTCTCTGGTCTCTTTCTGGTCTCTTTCTGGTCTCTCTCTGGTCTCTCTCTGGTCTCTCTCTGGTCTCTCTCTCTGGTCTCTCTCTGGTCTCTCTCTGGTCTCTCTCTGGTCTCTCTCTGGTCTCTCTCTCTGGTCTCTCTCTCTGGTCTCTCTCTGGTCTCTCTCTGGTCTCTCTCTGGTCTCTCTCTGGTCTCTCTCTGGTCTCCCTCTCTGGTCTCTCTCTCTGGTCTCTCTCTCTGGTCTCTCTCTGGTTTCTCTCTGGTCTCTCTCTGGTCTCTCTCTCTGGTCTCTCTCTGGTCTCTCCCTGGTCTCTCTCTGGTCTCTCTCTGGTCTCTCTCTCTGGTCTCTCTCTCTCTGGTCTCTCTCTGGTCTCTCTCTGTCTCTCTCTGGTCTCTCTCTGGTCTCTCTCTGGTCTCTCTCTCTGGTCTCTCTCTCTGGTCTCCTCTCTGGTCTCTCTGGTCCCTCTCTGGTCTCCCTCTCTGGTCTCACTCTGGTCCCTCTCTGGTCTCTCTCTCTGGTCTCTCTGGTCCCTCTCTCTCTCTCTCTCTGGTCTCTCTCTCTCTGGTCTCCCTCTCTGGTCTCTCTCTCTGGTCTCTCTCTGGTCTCTCTCTGGTCTCCTCTCTGGTCTCTCTCTCTGGTCTCTCTCTCTGGTCTCTCTCTGGTCTCTCTCTGGTCTCTCTCTCTGGTCTCTCTCTGGTCTCTCTCTCTGGTCTCTCTCTCTCTGGTCTCTCTCTCTGGTCTCTCTCTGGTCTCTCTCTGGTCTCCCTCTCTGGTCTCTCTCTCTGGTCTCTCTCTGTCTCTTTCTGGTCTCTCTCTGGTCTCTCTCTGGTCTCTCTCTGGTCTCTCTCTGGTCTCTCTCTCTGGTCTCTCTCTCTGGTCTCTCTCCCTGGTCTCTCTCTGGTCTCTCTCTGGTCTCTCTCTCTGGTCCCTCTCTGGTCTCCCTCTCTGGTCTCTCTCTGGTCTCCCTCTCTGGTCCACTGCCTCTGGTCTCTCTTTCTGGTCTCTCTCTCTGGTCTCTCTCTGGTCTCTCTGGTCCCTCTCTGGTCTCTCTCTCTGGTCTCTCTGGTCTCTCTCTGGTCTCCCTCTCTGGTCCCTCTCTCTCTCTCTCTCTCTGGTCTCTCTCTCTGGTCTCTCTCTGGTCTCTCTCTCTGGTCTCTTTCTGGTCTCTCTTTCTGGTCTCTTTCTGGTCTCTTTCTGGTCTCTCTCTGGTCTCTTTTTGGTCTCTCTCTGGTCTCTCTCTCTCTGGTCTCTCTCTGGTCTCTCTCTGGTCTCTCTCTGGTCTCTCTCTGGTCTCTCTTCTGGTCTCTCTCTGGTCTCTCTCTCTCTGGTCCCTCTCTGGTCTCTCTCTGGTCTCTCTCTCTGGTCTCTCTCTCTGGTCTCTCTCTGGTCTCTCTCTCTGGTCTCTCTCTGGTCTCTCTCTGGTCTCTCTCTGGTCTCTCTCTCTGGTCCCTCTCTGGTCTCTCTCTGGTCTGTCTCTCTGGTCTCTCTCTGGTCTCTCTCTCTGGTCTCTCTCTCTGGTCTCTCTCTGGTCTCTCTCTGGTCTCTCTCTCTGGTCTCTCTCTCTGGTCTCTCTCTGGTCTCTCTCTGGTCTCTCTCTCTGGTCTCTCTCTGGTCTCTCTCTCTGGTCCCTCTCTGGTCTCTCTCTGGTCTGTCTCTCTCTGCTCTCTCTGGTGTCTCTCTCTGGTCTCTCTCTGGTCTCTCTCTGGTCTCTCTCTCTGGTCCCTCTCTGGTCTCTCTCTGGTCTGTCTGACTCTCTGGTCTCTCTCTATGGTCTCTCTCTGGTCTCTCTCTCTGGTCTCTCTCTCTGGTCTCTCTCTCTGGTCTCTCTCTGGTCTCTCTCTGGTCTCTCTCTGGTCTCTCTCTCTGGTCTCTCTCATGGTCTCTCTCTGGTCTCTCCCTCTCTGGTCTCTCTCTCTGGCCCCATCTCTGGTCTCTCTCTCTGGTCTCTCTCTCTGGTCTCTCTTCTGGTCTCTCTCTGGTCTCTCTCTCTGGTCTCTCTCTCTGGTCTCTCTCTGGTCTCTCTCTGGTCTCTCTCCCTGTCTCTCTCTCTGGTCTCTCTCTGGTCTCTCTCTGGTCTCCCTCTCTGGTCTCTCTCTGGTCTCTCTCTGGTCCCTATCTCTGGTCTCGTCTCTCTGGTCTCTCTCTCTGGTCTCTCTCTGGTCTCTCTCTGGTCTCCTCTCTGGTCTCTCTCTCTGGTCTCTCTCTGGTCTCTCTCTGGTCTCCTCTCTGGTCTCTCTCTCTGGTCTCTCTCTCTGGTCTCTCTCTGGTCTCTCTCTGGTCTCTCTCTGGTCTCTCTCTCTGGTCTCTCTCTGGTCTCTCTCTCTGGTCTCTCTCTCTGGTCTCTCTCTGGTCTCTCTCTGGTCTCCCTCTCTGGTCTCTCTCTCTGGTCTCTCTCTGCTCTCTCTGGTCTCTCTCTGGTCTCTCTCTGGTCTCTCTCTGGTCTATCTCTCTCTCTGGTCTCTCTCTCTGGTCTCATCTCTCTGGTCTCTCTCTGGGTCTCTCTCTGGTCTCTCTCTCTGGTCTCTCTCTCTGGTCCTCTCTCTGGTCTCTCTCTCTGGTCTCTCTCTGGTCTCTCTCTCTCTGGTCCCTCTCTGGTCTCCCTCTCTGGTCCTCTCTCTGGTCTCTCTTGGTCGCTCTCTGGTCTCTCTCTCTGGTCTGTCTCTCTGGTCTCTCTCTCTGGTCTCTCTCATGGTCTCTCAGGGTCCTTTTACTCTCTGGTCTCTCTTATCTGGTCTCTCTGGTCAAACGAGGACTCTCTGGTCTCAAAACTCTCTGGTCTGTCTCTCTGGTCCTGGGGGGCGGCTCTCTGACACCACAGTCCAGGCTCTCTGGTCTCTCTCTGTGGTGGGGGCGGCGGCTCACCTCTCTGGTCTGTCTCTCTGGTCTCTATCGTCTAGGATTCTCTCTCCTGGTCTCTCTCTGGTCTCTCTCTGGTCTCTTTCTGGTCTCTTTCTGGTCTCTTTCTGGTCTCTGTCTGGTCTCTCTCTGGCTCTCTCTCTGGTCTCTCTCTGGTCTCTCTCTGGTCTCTCTCTGGTCTGTCTCTCTGGTCTCTCTCTCGTCCTCTCTCTGGTCTTCTCTCTGGTCTCTCTCTGACGTAGCTTCTTTATAACTTTTTACATCTTATCTATAATTGTATCTTTAGTTAAATCTTTATCTGATTGTTATTTCATTAAAATCCACATTTGAAATCACAAACGAGATTTGCTTTGCTCAAGGCTCAAAACATGTTAATATAAAATGTGCTAAAAGGTGCATGGAAAGGGCGATGTGTGGGTTGCGGCCTGAGGGAGATCTCCGGCTGATCTCTCAGATTTATCAGAGCCATGGCAGGTCTCTCGTGGTAATGGCGGGCTGGTCGACATCGGATTGTTCATCGTGGTGGAAACTGCAACTACAAGGATTCTGGTCTCTTTTCTGGTCTCCTCTGGACTCTTCTGGTCTCTCTGGTCTCTCCTCTCTGGTCTCTCCTGTCTCTCTCTGGTCTCTCTCTGGTCTCTCTCTGGTCTCTCTCTGGTCCCTTTCTCGTCTCTTTCTGGTCCTCTTTCTGTCTCTTTTCTGGTGCTCTTTCAGTCTCTTTCTGTCTCTCTCTCTGGTCTCTCTCTGGTCTCTCTCTCTTGGTCTCTCTCTGGTCCTCTGCTCTCTGGTCTCTCTCTGGTCTCTCTCTATGGTCTCTCTTCTGGTCCTCCTCTCTGGTCTCATCTCTAGCTCCAGTCTCCTCTTCCTCTCTCTGGTCTCTTTCTGGTCACTTTCGGTCCTCTCTCTGGTCTCTCTCTGTCTCTCTCTGGTCTCTCTCTGGTCTCTCTCTCTGGTCTCTCTCTGGTCTCTCTCTGGTCTCTCTCTGGTCTCTCTCTGGTCTCTCTCTCTGGTCTCTCTCTGGTCTCTCTCTGGTCTCTCTCTGGTCTCTCTCTCTGGTCTCTCTCTCTGGTCTCTCTCTCTGGTCTCTCTCTGGTCTCTCTCTGGTCTCTCTCTCTGGTCTCTCTCTGGTCTCTCTCTCTGGTCTCTCTCTGGTCTCTCTCTGGTCTCTCTCAGACGTACTCTTTATCTTTCTACTCTGGTCTATCTATGTCTCTTTAGTTCTACTTATCTGAGTGGTTAGTTTGCGTACCACATTGGAAATCACACGAGTCTTCTGCTCTGCTCAAGGCTCACTACTGTCTATTATAGAGTGCTCAGGTCACTGGACTGGGCGATCTTGGTGCGTCCTCATGGAGATCTCCTGGGGGGCGTCTGATCTCTGCACTCCAGTAATCTCTCATGCCGGTCTCTCTCTGGTCTCTCTCTGGTCTCTCTCT